AGGCTTTTCCCAGGAGACGCTGCCATGCATTGAAGCGAGGCCCTTCTGCATGCAGGACAGCTGCTCTGGCCGTTGCAATGGCCCTTCGCCGTGCGAGGCTTTGTCCCTGGGGGGCGCGTCAAGGGTGTTCTGCTGCAGCCACCCCGTTCCCCTGGGGGAGCCCCCTTGTCGTGGAGCCGCAGGGATTTGCCCACAGAGCAGCCGGCTGGAAATGCCTGCTCTCAGTGCCTGCCTCTCTGTGGGGCAAGAGGGGTGTGGAGCTGCCCTCCAAGTGGGGGGTTCTCCTCCCACTTTACAGGAATATGAGTCGGGCCCTGAAGGTCCATCCAGATCGTAGAATTGTAGAGGGTAGGGGACAACTGAGGCTCATCTAGTCCAACCCACTACAATGCCATGAAATGCTGTCTACCCCAAGGAGGCCCTCCCGATTATTTAGTTTTATTTTATTGCATTGCATTTCTGGCCCACCTCCCCCCCCCCCAAGAGCTCAAAGGAGCGTGCAAGGTTCCCTCCCTCCTCATTTAAACCCCACAATAACCCTGTGAGGTAGCTTGCGATTGGTTGATTGATTGATTGAGTTTATATACTGCCCAGAGGTCCCAGGGTGGTTCACAGAAAAGATCACAATATATATACTGTATTCTCCATGTATAAGATGCCCCCATGTATAAGACGACCCCTATTTCTAAAAAACAAACAAACCAGAAATTAAGCTGTTTAGCTTTTTTTGGTGGTGGGGGATGTGACTTCTGCCAATCGCTCACCCGCCTGCCCACCACTGCCAATCGCTTGCCACAGCCTCTGCCGATCTCACACTTTGCTGCAGCCGCCAATTGTCTGCCCACTAGCTGCCACCAACAGCCTACCCACTCACTTGCCATGGCCGCCAATCACCTGCCTGCCTCGCTACAGCCGCCAATCACTTTCCCAATCACCGCTGCCAATCTTCTGGTTGCTGCTGCCATTAATCGCATGCCCCCCCTCTGCATTCACTATCCGTGTATAGACGACACCCAATTTCTGCCTAATTTTCTTTGGCCAAAAGCATCATCTTATACACGGAAAAATACAGTAATCAGAATAAAAACAACTCAATAGCACACAAACACACCCAGGTTAGGTTGAGAGAGGCAAGCCCAAAGCCACCCAGTGAGTGGGGATTCGAACTCTGGGCTCCCGGGTCCTGGTCTGACCCTGACCACTCCACACACCCCCCCCGGGGTCTCATGTTGCTGGACTAGAACTCCCACCGCCCCTGAAGGTTTGGGGTTTTGCAAGAAACATCTAGACATCCCCATGTTGGCTATTCCAGGAAATATTCCAGGAAAGGGGGGGTGGAAAGTGGGGCATTCTGCATGCCCAGCAGCCCCCCTGCCGCCTTCCCCCAGGAACTGTGGGGAGCCATAGGGTGGCTAAGGGGGGCAGAAGGGGGCTCCTGATGGACCTGCTCTGACCTCTCTCTCGTCTTCCCCAGCCGTCTGCCTCCCTCGATGTCGGAACGGGGGCCAATGCAGGGCCCCCCAGCGCTGCGCCTGCCGCTCAGGCTTCTCCGGCCCCCGCTGTGAGCACGCCATGCCCCCCGGCCCCACGATGACGCCGCAGCCCCCCCGGGCGCCCCTGCGCTCCATGGCCATCCGCTGGCAGCCTCTGACGTGAGTTGGAGCGGGCAGGGGGGCTTCCCTTTCTGCCCCTCCCGTCGCACGCGTCGCAGGGCGCCGAAATCAAATCCTGCGCACGGTTCTGGTTGCCTCATCTCAAAAGGGATATTGCAGAGTCGGAAAAGGGCAGGGAAGGGAGGTTGGGGGCTCTTTACAGAAATGGGGAGCAAGAGGTGCGAAGGTCAAGAGAGTCTAGTCTAGGGGGCAGCGGTTGTAAATAAATTGGGACGTCGGCAGACATGGATTAAACGCTTGCAAAAAGCAACAATAAGGATCATTTTGAAAGGGGAAATAGTCTGTAAGCAGAGATGTGCAATGTATAAAGCGGTTTGAATGTTTAAAATATCTGTGCAGTATATCACAAGTTTAATTGTTTAGCAGTTGGGAAATTGGGTAAAGGGATCTGGAATGTAAGATGATTTGGTTTATTTAAAGAACCAGAAGAAGGAGTGGAGGGAAGTCCGGGGATTTGCAGGTGGGAAAATATGTTTTCTTTTTGGTTATTTTTTAATGTTAAAGAGAAATGTGCGGCGTAATATGGTATTGATACAATGTGGCATATATTGGGTTTTAATAAATGAAAACTAATAAAAAGTATTTAACAAAAAGAGAGAGATAGTCTAGTCCAGCCTCCTCTTCTCACCCTGGTCAGCCAGAGGCCCATTGTGGGGAATTTGGAGGCAGGATTCGAACACAGGAGAGCTCTCTCCTCCATCACTTTCGATGGTTGAGGCAGGGCAGAGCCATCCTTCCTGCTGTTGTTTAGTGGTGTCCGCCTCTTCATGACCCCCTGGACCAGATCATGCCAGGCACTCCTGTCTTCCACTGCCTCCCGCAGTTTGGTCAAACTCATGCTGGTAGCTTCGAGAACACTGTCCAACCATCTCGTCCTCTGTCGTCTCCTTCTCCTTGGGCCCTCCATCTTTCCCAACATCAGGGTCTTTTCCAGGGAGTCTTCTCTTCTCATGAGGTGGCCAAAGTCTTGGAGCCTCAGCTTCACGATCTGTCCTTCCAGTGAGCACTCAGGGCTGATTTCCTTCAGAATGGAGAGGTTTGATCTTCTTGCAGTCCATGGGACTCTCAAGAGTCTCCTCCAGCACCAGAATTCAAAAGCATCCATTCTTTGGCGATCAGCCTTCTTGATGGTCCAGCTCTCACTTCCATACATCACGACTGGGAAAACCAGAATTTTTACTATACGGACCTTTGTAGGCAAGGTGATGTCTCTGCTTCCTAGCAGCCATGAATTTGTCAAAGCCTCTTTGGAAGCCCTCGAGGAGCGTGGCTGTCGCTGTGGGAGGGAGTTCCACAGTTTAACTTTGTTCTGTCTCCCTGCATCTCCGCTTCCGCAGGTTCTGGCTTCATGAGAGAGGGAGAAAATGTCTTCTCTCTCCATCATTTTTTCCCATGCCAGGCCTCTTTTTGCAAACTTCTCTAAGGCTGTCTGCCCACAACGACTCTGCCCTGCCCTCCCCAGTCGGAGGCAGCGATGCTTCTGAATGCCAGTCGCCGGTGACGACAGGCTCTGTGTTCGAATCCTGCTTTCTGCTTTCCCTTTGGGGCATCTGTTCAGCCTGGGGGGGGGACTGGAGCCTGGACCTGACGGGCCCCCGGCCTGATCCAGCGGCTGCTTCTTCTGTGGGGCTGGGCTTGGAGGGAGGGGTCATGGCGCTAGAGAGAGGTCAGGGGTGTTCTGACTTCTGTGGGGATTTGTTGCCTGTGTGCCCCTGACCCCAGGATCGTTCCCCCCAGGCTGGCCGAGCTCCAGGTGGTTCTCCGGCGCCGGAAGACGTTGGACCCCTCTGAGAAGATGGCCACGATCCTGGCGCAGCATCTGGCCTCCCGGCCGAGCGGGAGCAGCAACGGCCCTCCTGGACACGGCCCCCCAGCAACGCCAAGGCCCCAAGGTACTGGGCATGGGGGGGAGGCGATCTGTTCTGTGCAAGGATCAGGGCCTGAAAGAGCCTGGGGCCTCCTCTGCTGGGGAAGAGGGGAGCGTGGAGGCTGGTGGGCTCTCCCTGTTGTTTCCGTGGCCAGGAGAGAGCTGCTTTCTCCTTGGCCCAGGGAGTGAAATCCTCAGTGCCGTGCAGAGTTAGTCTGTGGAACTCCCTGCCACAGGGAGCTGCTTGGATGGCTTTGAAAGAGCGAGAAGGAGGAGGGCTTTTGGGGGCTCCTAGTCAGGACGGCTTTGCTCTGCCCCCCCCCCACTAGGGAGCAGCAACGCCTAACCCAGAGCCCCCCCTTCGCTTCCTCAACGAGCCTCTTGCAGTTGCGGAGGGGGAGGGCCAGAGCCCTGGTGTTATTCTGGGTACCTCCCCCCCTCGTTGCCCCAGGCCATTAGCGCAGTCCCCACCCCTCCAGATCCGGCAATTGTTCTGCCCCCCCCCCTTCTGCCTGAGTTTTTCCAGATGACGTCAGCCTGGCCTGCGATGGGAGGGTGAGGCCCGGCTGGCTGGGGGGGGGGGGAGCGGGACAGCTCTGCTTTCTTCTCCCCCCCCCCCCCCGCAAGCCAGCTTCCTCCCTGGGGAGCCTGTTCGGAAGCCCCACCCCCTGTTGCTGCCTAGGAGTGCTCTGCTCAGCCACTCCGGGGGGGGGGCAGGCCTTTTACACCCCCCCTCCCTCCAGAAGGAGAACACCCACCTTGTCACCCTCTGGACAACCTCATGGTTTTTTTCGTGGGGGGGGGGGAGAGATGAGCTCCTTCTCCTTCAACAGTAAAGCAAGGAGCCCTATTATTGGGGGGGGGGACTCAAGACTTGGGAAGCTGGAGAATTTGGGGTGGGGGGAGCTGGGGGCACTGTGGCTCCTTTGGCACAGATGTTTGCCCCCTTCGCCCCCACCCACCTGCGTTTGCTGGGAGGCTTTTTATTGGGGGGGGGGTGTTGAACAGCTGGAGCCAGCGGGGTGGGGAGACTCCAAGGCAAAGCTTCCTTGAGTAGATTCAGCAGCTGGAGGAGGATGCGGGGGGGGGGGCATTGCCGCGCATTTGAAGTCGGGGGGGGGGCTGCCTTCATATCCTCGGCGAGGGGGTGGGCGGAGGAGGAGAGAGCCTCCTCTCTTGGGGAGGGGGAAGAGGGGTCTCGCCCAGGAGGTGGGTTGGAGCAGGACTCCGGGGGGGGGTCTCCTTCTGAGCTGACAAGTGCAGCGCTGAAGAAGAGCTGGCCGGTTCTCCCTCGCAGGGGGGGCGCTGCTGTTCGGGTTGCGAAAGGGACAGGGCTGCCGGCGCCTTTTTGTGGGGGGGGGGGCTGGGATGTGGCTGCTCTGGGAACTTCAGCGGAGGCTGCTTTCCTGCTGGCACCCGGCTGGGGGGGGCGGAGGCAAGGAGGGCGGCCCCCGGGTGGGTGCCAAGGCCAGGCAGCGCCGCTCCATCTGGGCTGCGCAGAGCAGGCGAAGAGTTAACGCTCCCAGCCGCCCCTCGTAAACATTGTGCTTGGCCCGGCGCCCGAGACCCCCCCGCCCACCCGACTGCTTCCAATTAGCTGGTGGGTCCGTCAGCTTCTGCGGTGGGTCGCCGGCTCCCCTGCCTGCTCCTCCGCCCGTGGCGCCCTCTTCCGCGCGGGGCCATGATCCACAGCCGCCACTCCTTCCTCCCGGCCGGCTCCCTGCTGCTGCTGCTGCTGCTGCTCCTGCTCCTGCTCTGCCGGGACCCCCTGCCCGCCCGTGCCCAGAGGGTCAAGGTCCTCTTCACCCCCATGATCTGCCGGGTGCACTGCAGCAGCGAGGGCCGCTGCGCCAACCACTGCGAGAGGGGCAATGCCACCACCCTGTACAGCGGGGCGGACGCCAGCCCGGCCGAAGGGGGACCCGGCTTCCGTGTCTGTGAGTATGGCAGCAGGGGGGCTTGGTGGGGGGCTGGCACAGGGCAGGGGATGCAGCATGGAAAAGCGGGCAGCCTCTTGCATCAAGTGCCCTTCCTGGATCCCATGTGCCACTCTGGGTGCTTGGTGCCCGCTCCTGCCCAGGTCACAGCCTCCTGCGTGGGCCTCTCTGCTGTGCCAGGCACACCTTTGCCCCTTGCCTAGTTCTGTGTCTGGTTGCTGAGGTTTGTGGCTGCCCCACCCCCCGTTTGGGCTAGGAGAAATGGGGGGGCTTCCTGGTGCCCTCGCCTCATCTGGTCCTTTCGACGGGCAACTTTTTCCTCCCCTTCCTGGAATGTGGTTTCTGTTTCCCAGGAACAGAGACAGGCAGCGATTCTCCCCCCCCCCCGCGCCACTTGACCAGATGTCCCCCCCAGTGCATGGCTCCTCTCCCACCCACCCACCTGCCAGCTGCTGCCCTGGCACAGGGACTCTCCCCTCTCCCTCTTCCCCGCCTGCAGCTGGGGGTTGCTGTGTGTGGGTGACCCCAGGAGGGGCCAGGGCAGCAAATGGGTCTGGGGGTCATGGCCTCTGCGGTCAGGCGGGCAGATGGGATTCTCCAGCTGCCACTCCTAGGGTCAAACTTTGCAGGGGGGGCCTGCATGTCGGAGGGGGCCGGGGGGTGCAGACCCCCCAGAAAACCTGATGTTCCTGGGAATTATATGAGCGGCTGCTGAGCGACACCTTGCAGGACGGGGGGCAGGGACTCGGGGGCCAGGGGTTCGTTGTCGTGTCCCCCCTGCCTCCCAGAAGGCGCTGAGGGTTGGGGGGGCTCTGCCTGCTTTCTCCCCACCCACGTTAACCCTGCGAGCGCCTTCTCTTCCTGGCGCCCCACGAGGGTCTTCTCTTGGCCCCCGGATGCCGGCAGAGGCTCCTTCGGGGGCTGGAGGGAGAGCAGGCGGCCAGCTGGCGCGGAGCCCTCCCTCCTCCAGATGGGCCCAGCTGCCTCTGGCGGGGGGCCAGGGGGGCTGAGCTCCAGCCCCAGAGGAGGCAGGCAGGCAGGGGGTCTTGGTGTCCTCAGGGCCACCCTGTGCCTCAGTTTCCCTGGGCAGGCTTGGGGAGGGGCGTCCTGCACGCTGAGGGCTTGGAGAGGGGCGGGGGCTGTTGGGGGCGTCTCCCCGTCCTCCCCTCCCTCTTGTGCTTGGTGATGCTCCCCAGGCTGCGCGTGGGTGGGGGTGCAAAGCGAGGCGTGTCCTGGCGGGCCTTTCCCCGCGTGTCGTGCCTCGGAGCAGCGCCTGGTCCTTGCGCGGGGGGAGGCAGCGGCCCCCCAGGATGGGATGCAGCACCACATGCTCATTGACGTAGTCCACAGCCCACGGGGGTGGGGGGCCTCTGGCGCTCCGGCCCCCGCCACTCCCAGGAACATAGGAATCCGGCCAGCGCGTCCATTAGCTCCGAAGACACTGGCTGGCAGAAAGGGCTCACCAGGGTTGCAGGCAGAGGAGTTTCTCTCAGCACCCTCCCCCCCGCCCCAGAGATGGGACCCAGGACCTTCTGCCCCATAGCTATGGCTCCTCCCTATGGCCTGGGGAGGGTCAGACCTGACCTGCCTGCTCACCCCCCCAAAAAATTTCTCTGCTACTGAAGGCACTTGCAGTTTGCAGACTTCCAGCAGTTTTGCTGCTACCATGTTGTTTCTATGGTGAGGGCTCCAAATGATGATGCTGATGATAATAATAATAATAATAATAATAATAATAATAATAATAATAATAATAATAATAATAATAATAATAATAATAATGGCCCACCCATCTGACTGGGTTGCCTTTTCCACTCTGGACGGCTTCCAACAAATATCAAAGCATAATAAAGCATCAAAGATCAAAAAATTCCCAGTACAGGGCTGCCTTCAGATGTCTTCGAAAAGTTGGAGAGTAATTTATCTCCTTGGCATCTGAAGGGAGGGTGCCACTGCCAAGAAGGCCCTCTGCCCGGGTCCCTGTAACTTCGCTTCTCGCAGGGAGGGAACCAGCAGAAGACCCTCGGAGGGGGACCTCTGAACAATGGGGGTGGAGACTCTCCCTCAGGTACGCAGGGCAGGTATGGCAGCCTTCCTTTGCGGCCCCAGTCAGGAGCGTAGGAAGGGGGGCGGGGGGGGCGGATTGTCCTGGGTGTCTTCCCTGAGGGGGGTGACAAAATCCCCCCTGGTCGGATCACCGCCGCCCCCCCGGCGCCGATCGCAGCGCTGATCCCGGGTGCACGACATGTGGGGGCTGCCATTCTGCCAGAGCTCAGCAGAGGGACTATGGGGTCCCTGGCACAAAACCTCCTTATGGCATCGTGGAATTACAGGGTTGTGGGGGAAGCCCAGGGTCCTCTAGTCTGACCCCTGCACTCCTCTTCCTCAGCCCCCCCAACCACACCCTTTCTTGGCCAGGGGGATGTGCAGCTGAGGCCCTTTCCTGGTGAGCAAGAAGGCCAAGTCTTGGCCCCAATCCTCCTCTTCCTGTGGCCCTGAGTTTCCCAAAGGGGTGGGGAGGGGCTGGCAGCGAAGCCTCTGTGCCGCTTTCTGGGGGTCTCAGAGACTGAGCCGGCCGCCCCCTGCCTCTCCCCTTCCTCGCGTCTCCATGGGGTCAGGCCTGAGAAGGAGTAAGCCGTGGGCGTCCTGGGAGTTTTATGTCCCCCCCGGTCTAAATTTGGACTGTCAGAAGTAGACAGAGCACAGCCCCCTTTGGCAGCCGGGAGTCGCGTCTGGGGCAGGAATCCTTCTTCACTCGGCACGGTTAACCTACGGAACTCCCTGCCACAGAGGTGGCCACCAACTGGGATGGCTTTAACATAAAGTCTTGGAGGAGAGGGCTATTGATGCCCATGATGGCTCTGCCCTGCCCTCCATGGTTGGAGGAAGCAGTGTGTCCGAATGCCAGTCGCTGGAAACCACAGGAGAGCAGAGCGCTCTTGGGTTCGAATCCTGCTTGCAAGTGTCCCACAATGGAATCTGGTTGGCCGCTGTGGGAAGCGGCTGCTGGACTGTATGTCTCTCCCCCCCCCCCCCCCCGGGCTGATCCAGCACTCTGGCTCTTCTGATGGAACCTCCAGCTCCAGGAGCAGTCTACCTGGATCCCTGTGTTCTCAGGGGTATTTGGCTGCGGTGAGAACAGGACTAGATGGGTCCCCCTTGGGCCCGATTCCAGCAGGCTCCTCTGCCCCAAAGTGGCCCCCACCAACCTGGAAACCCCTCCCCCAATGTTTTGAACTACAATTCCCACCAGCCCTTGCAACTTAGAGCTGTGCTGGTGGGAGCCTCTATCCGCAAGGCCCCTCTTTTGTCAAGGCTGCCTGGGCCACCCCACCCCCCCCAAAAAAAGACACCATTGATTAAGGTTTTGAGTGTCACGGTGCAAAGGCGGAGCAGCTAACGAAACCAACAGAGAGCGAGAAAACCGACAAGCTGATAACGGAGGCAGGACCTGGGTGGAGGTCAAAACGAAAATGACGAGGAAGATTATATGCCAAAATAATCTTGCAGAGCGTAGCGTAAATAGACACAGTTTCTTCTTTACGTAAGGAGAAATAAACACGGAGATAATATAAACTGGGCGCGAGGCTGCAATTACAGCTTCCATATGTCCAGCGAGGCGGGAGAAAGAGGGAGAGGCGCAGCCGCCTGGACAGCAGGAAGAACTTTCTGAGATCAAGAGCCATTGGACGGGGGGACGGACCCCCTGGGAAGGTTTCTAAGCGGAGGTTGGGGGGCCGTCTGCCGGGGGGGTGTCCATCTGTGGCTCCTGCATTGCGGGGGATCAGGCTGTGTAGAGTCCAAGTGCACCCCCCCCCGGTGGAGCAGGAGGGGAAGTTCTCATAGAATCACAGGATCTTAGAATTGTAGAGTTGGAAGGGGACCCACCGAGATCATCTGGTCCAACCCCCTGCAATGCAGGAATCACAGCTGAAGAAGCCCTGGCATCCGAACTTAAAAATGGAAAGCGTAATGCCGGTGGTCAACAAAAGAGGTTCAAAGACTCTCCAAAGGCAAATCTTAAAAAATGTAGTATAAACACTGAAACTGGGAAACACTGGCCTGCGAGCGCTCCAGATGGAGAACAGCCTTTACCAAAGGTGTCCTGGGCTTTGAAGACACTTGAACTCAGGACACAAGGGAGAAATGTGCTGAGAGGAAGACACGCTTGGCCAATCCACACTGTGATTAACTCCCGCCCGGAAACCCCACTGAGGAAGGACGTGTGGATCCAGAATTGGCCTCCACAGTCACAGGACCCACTGTTCAGACTCTGTTCGTGGGAGACCATCTTACTCAGCTACGAGGAGACGATTCCTGACCGAGGGCCACCCAACCTCTGCTTAAAAGCCTCTGATGAAAGAGAGTCCCTTCCCAGGAAGCCCATTCCTCCATCTCACGGCCTTTGCTGTCAGAAATCTCTTCCTATTGCTTAGTTAAAATCTCCTTTCTTGCTGTTTGAATCCATTGATTCGGATCCTGCCCCCTGGACTTTGCTGAACCAGTTTACTTGGATTGTTTTGGTTCCAGAGAGCTTTGGAAAGGAGGCGACACCAGCAGCCCCAGTCCTTGCGGGAGTCTTTTTGGTCACAAGGACAGCAGGTGGTTGGGGCAGGATGGGGAGGGGACCACCCCTGTCCCTTCCTCTACCCTCAGCTCAGGTTGACCCTGGCGGGGGGGGGGAGAGTGTCCTGCCTTGCAGGAGGGGGTCGGACAAGGTGTCCGTGTGGTCCTTTCCAAAGATCCCTCTTGCAGGCTGCTTCCTGCCATGACAGCTTTTCTAGAGAGGACAAGGAGTGTAGGGTGGCGTTCTGCCACTGAAGGACTCTGTGGGGCTCAGAAGCTTGCACATTTCTGACTTTAAAAAGAGGGAGAGCTTGGGGCTGGACTGTGCTGTGCCTGCTCTGGATCGGTTGGCAAGAGAAGCCCCCGCACTGCTTTCTCAATCTGCTCCGTCGCTGGTGCCCGCCTGGCCTCTCGCCTCCCACCCTGCCCTCTCCCCACGCCAACTTTGCCCTCTGCCTAATCTGGCCTCCCTCTGACCGCGGCCCAGCTGGCTGGCCTGCAGACTTGCCCTCTCAAAGGCCTGGCAGGATCTGTCCCTTCTCAGCACTGCCCAGACGGGCACAGGGCAGCCAAGAACAACCGAGACTGTCTGGCCGGCCTCGATTGTGCCTGGGAATGTGGGGCAAGTGGGGCCCCCTCCAAGAGATCTGGCTCCCGCCCAGCCCCAGGGATGGGGGGGCTCTGCACTGCAGGCCGAGTGGGCATGGGGTCCCGTTGCTCCCAGCAGGGAGCTGGCTCAGGACCCCACAGTGCCGGGCAGCGCTGTCTGTAAAAGGACAACCTTCTTTTCCTGCATATTCTGCACCCCCCCAATCAGTTCAGATCTTGCTGTGCAGATGCGTCCCACCCCCGAGTGTTTAGAAAAGCACATACCTCACCGTGACTCTGGCAAGCGAGCCAAGCCGCACACTCTGGACGGAGGCCACGCGCCCCCTACCCCGTCCCTCCAGGAGAAGGTGGGGTGTCCTGAGAGCAGAGACTTCCTGCTGACTTGGCAGCCCAGACCCCACCCGGGGGGGGGGGGCGAAGCCAGAGACTTTTCCTAACACAAACACACAGCTCCCAAACCCCCAAAGGCAGCTGAGCAGAAGACTTGCGGGATGAGGCTGAGTTTTGGAAACCGGATCGGGACACCGGAGTCGCCGTGCTGGTACCACATGTAGCGAGTGCCAGGAAGTTTCCCCAGAGTTCCCCTCAGAGACTCGCACACGAATGGGGGCAAAGGGGCATCTCGGCCCCCAAGGAGATGCAGGAATCTCTGTTGCATTGCAGCGGGGAGCGAACGTCCTTGTTATTTATTTCGTAAGATTTGACTATAAGACAAGAACATTAAAAGCCTCAAAGCAGTTTGCAAGATCAAGCGAGAAAAATCAAGCGTGGTTCACTTTAAAATGTACAAAACTTAAAATACGAAAGCCGATTAAAGTTGCCTCAGTTTCCTAAGCATCTGGGTTAGGATGCTTTTAGCAGGTGCCGAAAAGAGTCCAGTGAAGGCGCCTCAAGTGGCAGGGAGTTCCAAAGGGTCGGTGCTGCCACTAAATGACCGAGTTCTTAAAAGCACAAATCAAAGCAGTCAGGTGGGGGCCTTTTGGGTAAGGAGGTCTCATCCTGCTGGGACCATTTCCAAGTTGGGTGTGTCTAGGATCGAAGTCATTGTTTATTTTATTTTTAATTACATCCCACTTTAAGAACTTAACAAGAGCCCTGGATGAGGCCAATGGCCCACCTAGTCAAGCGTCCTCGTCTCCTAGTGGCCAAATTTCCCTAAGAACCCAGGAATCTAGATAGACTGCCTCTGGAGCTGGAGGTTCCATTGGAAGAGCCTGGCTGCTGGATGAGGCCAACGGGGGCCTGTCTAGTCCGGCAGCCTGTCCTCACAGCGGCTGAGCAGGTGTCCACAAGCCGGAGCTGAGAGCAAAAAAAACCTCTCCCCTCCTGCAGTTTGCAGCAGCTGCCACTCGGAAGCATTTGTGGCCTCCTGCAAGGTGGCCGTAAAATTAGCACGCCATAAATAAAAGGGATTTCTGGTGGCAGAGGCAGCGGCGCTGACGGGAAGTGTTAAAAACCCAGGTTCTCCTGCCGCCCGGCTATCAAATAATCATCCAAATAGTGCATGACGTAATGGGATCCTGACCTTATTTTCATGGCCCACTCCAGAAATGTGCTTAAAGTCTGAAAAGGGGTGCATGCAATGGAGCAGCCATGGGCATAGCATGGTAAAAGTACCATTGGTCCTGACACTTTAAACCCAGCAGCCAGAAGTCATGAGGGTGGACTGGAAGCAGGCGAAAGGTCGATTCAGCATCACACTTTTCCCTAAGAGCACTAGGGCTGCCGCATTCCTTAATAAACTGGATTGCATAATCTGGCAGCGCATATTTTACTGAGCATTGCTCCTGAGAAATGCGTCATTTACTGATCTGCTTTTTGGGTATGATAAGTTATGAATCATGAGGAACTCACCCGGTACCTTTTTAGGCACGATACCCAGAGGTGATACTTTAAATTTAGGGAAAGGGGGCTCCAGGAATGGACCTGCAACCCCCCCAAAAAAGGCGCTCTTTGGAAATCTTTTTCGGGGCAACAGGGGCGTAGGAAGGGGGGGCTGCCCTGGGTGCCATCATGGAGGGGGGGTGACAAATTATCAAGGGACAATTACTGCCCTACTAGGGCGGTTCATAAAAAACTTTAAAAAAAAAAGCCTGCTCCAAAGGTCTTATCTTGCTAAACTTTATATAGCTATATCTGAAATTTCACGCATATCAGTTAATATCTTGACCCTCCTCCACGAAAATAGCTGTTTACTTGACCATTTTCCTATGTGGTGAAGGCTGAAATTTCAGTTCAGTGGAGCATTTACTGTTCCCAACCCTAACCCTGCGGAAAGCCATCTAATTCGACTTTGATTTGATTTTGACATGTTTTTAGGAGGTGATTTAATTATTGTTTGATTTTATACCAATGTTATGTATCTGATGTTAGCTGCCCTGAGCCGGAATTTGGCCGGGGAGGGCGGGATATAAATAAAAGTTGATTATTATTATTATTATTATTACTTATTACTCCTTTGTAAGAAAATATGAAATAACGTAAAACCATTTTTGCAGGCAAACAAACAAACAAACAAACAATGGGGGAGCTGATAAGAAATTTTCTGCACCGGGTACCACCTGCCCTTCCTACGTCTCTGCGGGGCAATATGGGGCATCTCACGTACAGACTTTTATTTGGGGGGGTTGGTGAATGTCAAGATGCCTACCACTGGGATATGGAACCTTCCTGGAAGCCCCCCTCCAGGTATTTTGCCGCCTCTCTCTTGGGGAGGGTAGGGGGGCTAGGAAAAGGAGACGCTTATTTGCAGAAAGCCTTGGAAAATTTTCTTATCCTGAAAGCATTTTGTGGTTGGGTGAGAACCGCTGCAAAGGCACCTTTGTTAAAATCCCAACATGATTTCCTTGGCACCCTCCGCCCTCCGGGGGGGGGGGACGACCCTGGGTTGAAGACGGAGCAGCTCCTCTTTTGCATCTGCAACCTCTGGACCCGGGGGGGGGGGGAGTCGTCAGATGCCCCCTCCCCTGAGCTGCAGGGCTGAGAGCGGTCAGGGACCCTGGGGCTCTCTCCTCCTTCCCCCTCCCCAGAGTCATGTGTCCCCAGAGACTTTTCTTCCCCCGGGGGAGAGTCTGCACCCTGGACGGAGAGTCAGCCTTTGTGCACACGTGGGGGTCCAAAGAGCCAGGGGGGGCCTCTGTCCTGGGAAGCAGCTGCAATTATTATTATTATTATTTAATTCAACTTATACACCGCTCTATACCCGGAGGTCTGAGGGTGGTTCACAAACCAGACCACAACATATAAAATCAAACCAAAAACAATACCACCACCACCCCACATTCTAAAAGGGTGTTGGATGTCAATAAGTTCAAGCAAAGGCCTGCTTAAAAGGAACGTTTTTGCCTGGCGCCTAAAGGTGTATAACAAAGGGACCAGGAGAACTTCCCTGGGGAGAGCATTCCACAGACGGGGAGCCACTGCAGAGAAGGCCCCGTTCTCGTGTTGACCTCCTCCGGACCTCTCAAGGAGGAGAGATGAGAGAGATGGGGAAGGTGGAGGGATTTATTTTATTGCTGCATTTATTTTATTGCATTTATAGCCCTGCCTGTTCTCCAAGGAGCTCAAGGTCCTCCCCCTCCTCCGTTGACCCCCACAACAACCCTGCGAGGGAGGCCAGGCTGGGAGGCAGCGGCTGGCCCCCAAGGACACCCGAGGACTGAGGGCAGAATTTCAAACCAGGTCCTGGTCCTGCGCTAACCACTAGGCCACACTCTCTTCCAACTAGGCGAAAAAGGAAAACACCCCGCTGGATTCTGACTCCTGTCTGCAGGTGTGGCTGCTGACCTGATCTCTCTCTCTCTCTCTCTGCCCCCCAGTCCTCTGCCCCCTCATTTGCCAAAATGGGGGGGTCTGCCTCAAGAAGGACAAGTGCCTCTGCCCCCCCAGCTGGACGGGGAAGTTCTGCCACATCCCAGCCCTCCCTCGGCCCCACGGACAGCAGGCACCCTCCCGCCGCGAGACCAGCGCCCAGGCTGAGGGGGGGCCCCAGCCCATGGCCAGGTCCACCTACACCCTCCCCATCGCCAACCACCGCGAGGAGCGTGACGGTAAGACGGGGCCGGGAGAGGGGCGGCGTGGCGGCGGGTTGGGCTAGATGGCCTTGGGGGGTCCCTTCCAGCTCTCCCCTCCTGGGATTCTAAGAGGAGTAAGGGAAGGGGGGAGACAGGATGGAGCCGAGGGGGCAGGAGGTTCCAGGACGCAGTTAAGTCATTTTGGGCACCCTGCCCGCCTTGGATTCGTAATCCCACCCCCCAAAAAGCATCGATATAGTAAGAATGAATAATAATTTTTATTATTTCTACCCCCACCAATCTGGCTGGGCTTCTCCAGCCGTTACTCAGAAGAGCACGTTGCACGACTTGTCAAGGAAAGAACACCGTGAAATTCTAAGCAGTAACAATTCGTTGCATATTTCAGCAAGATCTAATTAAAAGCAGGATATTTTAGGTGTCTGAGAGGACCCCTCCCCCCCCCCCCCGCTGCCCCCTTGCCTCTTGCCGCCCTCCCCCAGGACATAAGTATCTTATTTTCCCTTCTTTTAATAATTTCAATGTGGTGACAAGAAGTTTTCTGCTCCGGGTACCACCTGACTGTGCTACGCCACTGCATCCCTTTGTGGTTGCACCACCCCCTTTGGGAATCTCGGAGTTGAATGGTGTGGTTGTTGGGGAGGGGGAACACGCCCAGCTGGGAAGCCGGTGAGAGTCCGAGGCCGGATCCTGCGCTGCGCGGCTTCCCGCGCCGTGAGGACCCTTGGGTGCCAACAGGGCCATGCTGCGTCAAGCACAGCCAAGCCCATTCTGGTTTGAGTTGGCAGGAGAGACACCCCCCCTCCTTACAGCTCAGGGATAAGAACCCAAAAGAGCCCATCTAGTCCAGCCTCCTCTTCTCATTGTGGCCCAAGACCCCCCCAAAGAGCCTAGCATTCGAGATAGACAGCGCCTGGACCTGGAGGCTCCATCAGGCCCTCCAGTCCAGCCTCCCGTTCTCACAGTGGCCAATCAGGTGCCCCCAAGGGAAACCAGCCATCAGGATTCGAACACAAGACCGACTTGTGGTTCCCAGTGACTGGGGGCAAGAGGCTCCCTTGCTTGGCGCTGGCAGGAGATCCCTTTCGGGTGGGGGCAGGGGACTCCTTTTGGGCCGGGCTCCTGGAAAAGGGATCTCTGCCAGCCAGGAAGGGACGGAGCAGACATCCAGCGACAGAGGAGATGAATGTTTGCTGGAGGGACGCCTGGAATTCTTTTGGGGGGGGAAGGCAGAGGGACACGCTGCCTGCTTGCAAATATTTGAGGAGATATCGGCAGGAATGGGACGTGTTGTCTCTCCTCCTCCCCGCCCAGCCAAAGCCGCCCAGACGCAGCCGGAGCCTCAGAGGCGCGGATGAAGCAGGAGGAGGAATTTGGCAGGGGAGAGGCCTCTTGAGGGCCGGGGGCTCATTGGAGCCTCCATGGGCAGGAGCAGTCTACCTTAGAGGCGCTGAAGGGAGGGAAAGGAGAGAAGCAGCAGGCAGGGCTCTGCCTTGCTTCCCTGGCTGGGAGTTGGCGAGGGGAGAAGCGTCATAATAATAATAATAATCAATTAATAATCAGTTTTATTTATATCCTGCCCTCCCCAGCCAAAGCCAGGCTCAGAGCAGCTGACATCACATAAATAAGATAATATGCATAATGCAATATACAATATGCAAATAAAATAACATTCCACGTTCATTAAAATAATATAAGTAAAGGTAAAGGGACCTCTGACCACTAGGTCCAGTCGCGGCCGACTCTGGGGTTGCGGCGCTCATCTCACTTTATTGGCCGAGGGAGCCGGCGTACAGCTTCCGGGTCATGGGGCCAGCAGGACTAAGCCGCTTCTGGCGAACCAGAGCAGCTCACGGATACACCGTTTACCTTTCTGCTGGAGTGGTACCTATTTATCTACTTGCACTTTGACGTGCTTTCGGAATGCTAGGTGGGCAGGAGCAGGGACCGAGCAACGGGAGCTCACCCCGTCATTGCGGGGATTCGAACCGCCGACCTTCTGATCGGCAAGTCCAAGTGGCTCAATACTATTCAATATCAGCACTTCAAGATTAAACAGAAATCCACTCTTACCAGTTACAATAAGTAATTTCTAAACTCCAGTCAATAAAACAACAGCAGGGCACAACACGTGGTGGGGGTGGGCTGGATGACCCCCAGGGCTCCCTTCCAGCTCCACAATTCTACGATTCCCCAAATTCCTTGGTTTGGGTCTTGCCTGCCTTCCTGGTATTTGGGGATCCCTCTCTGTCCCCTCTTCTCGGGGCTCAATGGCCCCTTCAGCCTCCCTCTCTGCCCCCCCTTGACCCGTCTCTCCCCCCCCCAGGTGTGGCCTCCCTGGCCAGCGTCCACGTGCAGCACCCTCCCGAGGCCTCGGTCACCATCCACCAGGTGGAGCGCGTGAGTGAGGAGCCGGCGGGGGACGCCAACGCCCTCCCCCTCTCCCGCCCGGCCCTCTACAGCGTCCTGGCGCAGAGCAGCCCCCGAGACACCCCCAGCGGGGGCTACGGAGAGGGGGCCGGGTTCGGATACTGCTTCCGGCAGCTCCGCGGAGGAGAGGTACTACTTGGGGGGGCAGGGGGGAGGGCGGGGGGCGGCTGCGGCTCATACAGAATGCAAAGGACCAACCCCCCCCCCATCAGCTCACTTGCAACTCAGCCCTCTAGGGCAAAAAAAGGGGGTCTGCTTAGAAAATCCTCTGTAAATGGGGGCAATCTAGGGGTCTCCCACTGTTCCTTAAAAAAGCCAGCAGCTCTCAGTTCTTAAAGACATAAGGGAAGACTTCAGGATCAGGCCAGTGGCCCCCCTAGTCCAGCTTTCTCACAGCGGCCAAATACCCCCAAGAACTTAGAAATCCAGGTCATGTTAAATTGAATTCCAGAATGATGTACAAAGCAAGTATCAACCAATGAGTTTTAATTTTGATAACAACTTCTCTTGATCATTTCTGTTGTACAGTTTTCAAAACCAATAAAGCATAAGAAAAGAACTTAGGGATCCAGATAGACTGCCTCTGGGCCTGGAGGTTCCATAAGAATGGAAGAAGCAGGGGCATCAACTATAGGGAGTCCGAGCACCCCAAAAATGTTTGGGTGTGGCTGCTCAGCACCCAATCCGCAAGGACCCCCATGTGACTTCCGGCGCCTCGTGAAGCCCTGGAAGTCACGTCCGAGGCCAAGCGAGATCTTGCAGATGCGGTCAGAGGCCTTGCGAGAACTGTGACAACTCGGAACCGGACTTCCGGCGCCACTGGAATTTCGGTTCTAAGGGCGCTGGGTGCGTGAGCTCATGGCGTCGCGTCACACGCACTGGGCACCCGTAACCCGGGGCCCAAGTTGGCAGAAGGAGAGCCTGGCCATTGGCCCATCTGGCCCACCTTCCTCTTCTGACAGCGGCCAACCAGGTGCCTCCATTGGAAGCCCACAAGCAGGACCCGAGTGCGAGAGCTTTCTGCCGTTATTTGGCTTTCAGAGGTAGACTGTCCCTTGGCTTGGAGGTTCTGCGGTCAACATCGGCCTCTGTAAGAAGAGCCTGGCTGGGATTCGAAGGTGCATTCGAAGGGAAGAAGGCAGCTGTCCTGGCCGGGGGTCGTGCCCCCCTCCTCCATGGGTTTGTCTAGAACAGGGGTAGGCAACCTAAGGCCCGGGGGCCGGATGCGGCCCAATCGCCTTCTCAATCCGGCCCACGGATGGTCCGGGAATCAGCGTGTTTTTACATGAGTAGAATGTGTCCTTTTATTTTAAATGCATCTCTGGGTTATTTGTGGGGCATAGGAATTTGTTCATATATTTTTTCAAAATCTAGTCCAGCCCCCCACATGGTCTGAGGGACGGTGGTCCGGCCCCCGGCTGAAAAAGGTTACTGACCCCCGGTCTAGAATCTGCTTTCAAAGCCATTCAAGTTAGTGGCCGTGGCTGTCTCCGGTGGCAGGGAGTTCCGCAGTCCAGCTCTGCGCTGCCAGAAGGGAAGCACAGCTGTGAATTCATGTGAAGTGGAGACCGGGGGGGGGAGAGGGGGCAGAGAGTGGCTAAGCCCCCCGCTGCCTCTTTGGCAAGGGGGTCCGGCTGACTCATCTGCTTTGGCTGGAGGCAGCAGGTGCTGTTCCAAAACCAGAAGAAACAGGAGTTTATGGGGCCCTTTTGATGGGGGTCTTCCCCCTCCCGCTGGGAGCAAAGCAAGGGGGGCCTGGAGGCCTCGGCCCCAGCAGGGTGAGGTTGGGGGCCCAGCAAGCCCTGGTAGGGGTTTCACTTTAGCGAAATGGCTGGATTTCAGCACTTTGGGTTGACCGGAGGCCAAGAGACTCCCGGAAAGAGCGGCTCACAGATGATTGTGTCGGGAGGGAGGGGGTCGCCATCTGTGCCAAAAGAGGCGATTGTGAAATGGCAGCAGCTGGACGGGCTGGAGGGGGGGCTGAGGGGCACAGAGAGAAGAACGAAAGAAGAAAGAAGAAAGAAAGGCGGGAGGGAGGCAGAGAGGCAGAAAGAGAGAGGGAGATCGTAGTCATCTTCTCTATGCCGATTCCAGGAACACAGTTTAACTCTGTGGTGCCGTTAATAAGGACTTTCTTTTCTTCTGTCCTCTTGTCTTCTTTAAGGCAGGGGTGCACTTGGTAACCCCCCTTTTAGGGCTTGAACAAGCAAGGGAAAAGGATGGGGTTTATATTATTTTATTGAATTATCACAGCCTGCCTTTTTTCTCACCAAGGAGCTCAAATTCACGGTCCTCCCTCCTCATGTATTCCCCACAACAGCCCTGTGAGGTAGGCTAGGCTGAGAGGGAAACTGAGCCCAAGCTCACCCAAGCAGTGGGGGGATTCGAACCCAGGTCTCTCCTAGTCTGACATTCTCACCACGACGCCACACGGGCTCCTATGCACAAAGGTTTTGCACACTTGTGAGCAGAGGGCACTGTGTACACCCTGGGGGTCGCCGTGGCTTTGCGGGGAAGGGAGCCCCTCTGCTCGGGGGGGGGCTGCCCTATAGAGGGATTGTCATGGGCCAAACCGTGCCTTATCCTACAGGTGCAGATGAAAGGTGGGCTTTTAGGGCTTCTCTGGAACAGCCAAGGTCTGGGCGATTCTGAGGGGGTGTTCCTGGGTTAGGACCCCCCAACTGACTCTCTCCCTCCTCTTTCAGTGCAGTGCCCCCCTGCCCGGCTTGCGCACTCGAGAGATCTGCTGCCGGGGGGCCGGCCTGGCCTGGGGGGTCCACGAGTGCCTGCCTTGCGCCAACGGCGACGTGGGTAAGGTTGCCAACTGGGCCCCCACCCTCTCCGAAGAAGGGGGAGTGGCTTGGGGGGGGCTGGGAAGGAGGACGTGGCTCACACCCTCCTGGGCCGGTTGGGGAGAGGAGGGGTGCCCCAAACTCCTGCCCTTTGGGCCATGGGACACCCCTTTAATGTGGCTTTTGGTGCAGCCCTGGAAGTGTCAGTGGTGGGGGGGTCTTGGTAGGGGGGGCATGGATATAGCAAAGGGCTCCTCCAACCGCCCTCTCTCTCCTCAAAGGGGACGCCAGCCCTGTGGGGAGGAACGAAGTGGCCTGCCCCAAAGGCTTCCGCCGGCAGAATGGATCCTGCATTGGTGAGTGGGGCTGGGCTGGCCGAAGACCCCTTGGTTTGTGGGGGGGGGCTTTCCACCCCTGGATCCTTCTAGGGGCCAAGGCAGAGCCCCCACAAAGTCCATCCCCTGGCTCCCAGGCTTCTTCCCAGGAGGGGCCTTTGCTGCCCACCCATCCTGCCAGGACGGGCCTGGATCTGCCCCCCCCGGCCTTTTCTGACACCCTCTTTCTCACCCCCCCATGGCCAGATGTGGATGAATGCGCAGAGGGCAGCTTCTGCCACAATGGCGACTGCACCAACACCCGCGGCAGCTTTGCCTGCGTCTGCCACGAGGGGTACATCCTCGACTCGTCTCGTAGCAGCTGCATCTGTAAGTCGGGCACCCCTGGCACCGGCGTGGGGCGCTGGGGGGTGGAGGTGGGGGTGTGGCAGGCCTCCAAACCCGCCTCCTGTTCCTGATTACATGAGCAGAGCCTGCTGGATCCGGCCGATGGCCCACCTAGTCCAGCCAAGTTTAAAATGCTTTACTTACAAAATGTTCCAAAGGTCAGATTCATGCATTTATCCAGGCAGCAGCAAGGAAAACACAGGCGGAATACTCTTGGGTAGGAAATACAGAAAGGTAGCTCCAAACACATGCTCTGGACTTGGCGCTTGCTTGGACAGGACTTCCTTGGTCTGTTACATGGCTCAGAGAGAGAGAACAGGAAGAGAAGGTTTCACTTCCTCCCTCATCAGATAAGAGGGGGCATGGCCTAGCTGAATCTAGGAATCTAACTCTATGGTCTTAACCCCTTCATGCACCAACTAGCACTTACGTTTGCCTGCAAATTCCCACAGCGTTTCCCAATTGTGGGATGTCCAGCACTTCTAGTGTTTTGAGAGAGTGAGCGGGGAAAGCTCTGCACTTTCTCCAGGCCAGGCATAATTTTACAGACTCTCGCCTCTCACTCGCTTTTCCTCTAAACTAAGAAGCCCCAAACGCTGCAGCCTTTTGTTGCAGGGGAGTCCAGCTGCCCCCTTCTCATTCTGGCTGCCCTTTTCTGAAAACCTCCTCTGACGCTGCCGTCTCCATCTCCCTTTTGAGCAGAGGAGACCAGAACATATATATATATATGCACAAGTTTTCATCTTTTTCCTTTGTCACATTCATATCAAATCATATCATCACATACAACTTTGCTCATACTGAGCATCGACTCCCTCCCCTACAGCTTTCTTAAGTAATCACAATCTTCTTAGCATTGATATATAATCCTGTTTAACTTCTTAATATATATTTTTAAAAAATTACTTTAGTATCTATAAATCAGTTTCAAAAATTTTCATTACAAAATATTTTAAATCAAAACAACAAACGTTCTCAAATTAAAATGTTCTTTCATACAGTATGTTGTATAAATTTACGCCAGTCCTTTTCAAACAGTTCGCTGGTTTCGGATTTTCCCTGTCAGCTTTGCCAGTTTTGCAGATTCAATCATTTTTATCTGCCGTTCTTCCAAAGTTGGAAGTTCCTGCTGCTTCCATTTTGGGGCTAAAAGTGTCCTTGCAGCTGTGGTGGCATACATAAACTTATTTAAGTCTACTTTTGGAATTTCGTCTCCCACAATACCCAATAGAAAAGCCCCTGGGTTTTTTTAAATAAAAGTATATTTAAAGATCTTTTTTCAATTCACTGTATATCATGGGTAGGCAAACTAAGGCCCAGGGGCCGGATCCGGCCCAATCACCTTCTAAATCCGGCCTGGGAACTGTCTGGGAATCAGCATGTTTTTTACATGAGTAGAATGTGTCCTTTTATTTACCGTATTTTTCGCTCCATAAGAAGCACTTTTTTCCTCCTAAAAAGTAAGGGGAGATGTCTGTACGTCTTATGGAGCGAATGCGTGGTCCCTGGAAAGAGGGAAGGGGGTGTTGAAACAAAGCCGCTGATCAGCAAGCAGTCAGGAGGGAGATAAGGGATGCTAGTGATAAAGGAGGCTGCCTGGGAGGGGGGAGGTAAAAGCCCATGGATCCTCAGGATTTTTACATTGGATCACCCCAAATTCACCATCAGATCACATAGCATGTCCATGGCTGCAGCCTGCACGAAAAAAACCATGCACCCACTGTTTTGGGGGCCGCAATGGTGCAAAAATGTGGTTACAAAGCACGGATCCACAGGGAGTCTCAGGATTTTTGCATTGAACTACCCCAAACTCACTGTCAAATCACAAGTCTGTGGTCACAGCATGTACCACAAATACATCCACTGTTTTGTTCAGAATATATTTTTTTCTTGTTTTCCTCCTTTAAAAACTAGGTGCGTCTTATGGAGCGAAAAATATGGTAAAATGCATCTCTGAGTTATTTGTGGGGCTTAGGAATTTGTTCATATTTCCCCCCCAAAATATAGTCCAGCCCCCCCCCCCCAAGGTCTGAGAGACGGTGGACCAGCCCCCTGCTGAAAACGTTTGCGGACCCCTGTTGTATATCATATCCCAGCAGGCTTTACCTATACTGCACGTCCACCACATGTGCAGATTTTGAGGCCCCCCTCTCCCCCCGCAGCCCACCACGTGATCTCGGAGGCCAAGGGCCCCTGCTTCCGCGTCCTGAGGGAGGGCAGCTGCTCCCTGCCCATCCTGCGCAACATCACCAAGCAGATCTGCTGCTGCAGCCGCGTGGGCAAGGCCTGGGGCCACGCCTGCGAGCGATGCCCGCCCTTTGGCTCAGGTGAGGAGGGCGCCCAGGGAGGGGGCGATGGGGAGACATCCGGATGGCGGGATCAGAGGCTGGAAGGGGAGCCAGCTTTGCCTGGGCTGGAACAGCAAATTTTGCTGTGTGATGGCGGGTTGGGCTAGATGACCGCTGAGGGTCCTATTCCAATTCCATCATTCTACAAGCTTTCTCTCTGCTCATGAGTGCAGAGGACCTTTTGCCCAGGGCAACCAGCCCCAGTCTGGGATTAAGTGGGGCGAGGCTGTGAGGGCAATGCCCAGCAGGCTCCAGAGTGAAGTGGGGGGTGCTGAGGGTCCCCCCCCAAAAAATAAACCCCTCTCTTCACACTGATCTCCTTCTCTTTGGCAGACGGGTTCAAGGAGATCTGCCCGGCAGGACCCGGCTACCACTACTCGGCCTCTGACCTGCGCTACGACACCCGCTTCCTCGGCCAGGACCTGCCCCGGGTGCCCGTCGGTCGCCAGCAAGGGGGTCGGGATCCGGCCGCCAGACCCCCCCTGGCAACAACCACAGCGCCATCCGTCCGTATGTTCCCTGGGGGGAGGCCAGAGCCCCCCCTTCCTGCTCTGCCCCTCTCCCCATGGCAGACCCGGCCTCTTGGGGCACAGGGAGGGTGGCTTCTCTGATCTGGATGTTGCGGGGAAAGGGGAGCCTTGGCAGGCCATCCCTGCAAGGCGGGCCGGTTTGTGGAACTGGGGGGGGGGCAGAGGGTGGGCAGTTCTCCTGGTGTTGCCTGGCACAGCATCAGCCCCCGGCTGCGACTCCCGCAAGTACCCTTGGCACCCCTTCCAATTGTACAGTTCTTCCTTTCTAAGGCTGGCAGAGTCTGTGCCAGTTTGGATGAGATGGGCTGGTGCCATTTCTCATCTTGCAGGGCTGGGCATTGGGGGGGTCCTTGCCCCCTCCCCTCCTCACGCCAGCTCTCTCCCCGCCTTGCAGTGCGCTGGAGCCCCCCGCCCACCTCCTTGCCGGAGCGCCAGCCTCCCCGGCGTGTGCCAACCCAGTCTCCTGACCCACCTGTGCCAGGTAGGAAAAGCGGGCAAGTCAGGGGGGAGGGAGGCATTGTGCCTCAATGTGGGAGCCAGAACTTCAAATAGACTCAGTTGGTCGAGTGTGAGGCTCACAGGGCTGTGGGTTTGAGCCCCATGTTGGCAGAAAGATTCCTGCTTGGCAGGGAATTTGACTAGATGCCCGATTCTAATGTGGCAGCGCCTACACTCTGGAACTCCCTGCCGATTGACACCCGTCAGCGGTGCCTTCTCTGCGCTTTTTGGGGGCCTGCTAAAAACGTTCAGAAAAGCCCACAGAGATGCTCTGAAAGCTTATGCCAGTCTTAGGCTGGATCTACACTGATACAGTGGTGCCTCAGTTCTCAAACTTCATCTATTCTGGAAGTCCGTTCCGAAACCAAAGCGTTTCGAAACCAAGGTGCGCTTTCCCATAGAAAGTATTGCAAAATGGATTAATCCGTTCCAGACTTTTAAAAACAACCCCTGAAACAGCAATTTAACATGGATTTTACTATCTAACAACACCATTGATCCATAAAATAAAAGCAATAATCAATTTACTGTACAGTCATACCTCGCGTTAAAGTTGCTTCAGGTTGAGCATTTTCGGGTTGCGCTCTGCGGCAACCCAGAAGTAACGGAACACTAAGAAAAACCCCCACGTTATATAGCTCTCTTTTTCTTTTCTTTTCTTTATTTATTTGGTTTGTCAAATTACAGTTTTATAATCACATACCCAACGTGCAACATAAAAAACAAAGTTCCATAGAATCTCCTCGACTTCCCTCCTCCCCTTTGTGGATCCTATTGTTAATCATTTTTCTCCTACCTCTTTTTGTTGTTGTTGTTGTTATTTAGTCGTTTAGTCGTGTCCGACTCTTCGTGACCCCCTGGACCAGAGCACGCCAGGCACCTCTGTCCTCCACTGCCTCCCGCAGTTTGGTCAAACTCATGCTAGTAACCTCGAAAACACTATCCAACCATCTCGTCCTCTGTCGTCCCCTTCTCCTTGCGCCCTCCATCTTTCCCAACATCAGGGTCTTTTCCAGCGAGTCTTCTCTTCTCATGAGGTGGCCAAAGTCTTGGAGCCTCAGCTTCAGGATCTGTCCTTCCAGTGAGCACTCAGGGCTGATTTCCTTCAGAATGGATCGGTTTGATCTTCTTGCAGTCCATGGGACTCTCAAGAGTCTCCTCCAGCACCAGAATTCAAAAGCATCAATTCTTCTTGATGGTCCAGCTCTCACTTCCATACATCACTACTGGGAAAACCAGAGCTTTAACTATACGGACCTTTGTTGGCAAGGTGGCATCTCTACTTCTCAAGATGCTGTCTAGGCCTGTCATTGCCCTTCTCCCAAGAAGTAGGCGTCTTTTAATTTCGTGGCTGCTGTCACCATCTACAGTGATCATGGAGCCCAAGAAAGTAAAATCTCTCACTGCCTCCATTTCTTCCCCTTCTATTTGCCAGGAGGTGATGGGACCAGTGGCCATGATCTTCATTTTTTTAATGTTGAGCTTCAGACCATATTTTGCGCTCTCTTCTTTCACCCTCATTAAAAGGTTCTTTAATTCCTCCTCACTTTCTGCCATCAAGGTTGTGTCATCTGCATATCTGAGGTTGCTGATATTTCTTCCGGCGATCTTAATTCCTGCTTGGGATTCATCCAGCCCAGCCTTTCGCATGATGAATTCTGCATATAAGTTAAATAAGCAGGGAGACAAAATACAGCCTTCTCGTACTCCTTTCCCAATTTTGAACCAATCAGTTGTTCCATATCCAGTTCTAACTGTAGCTTCTTGTCCCACATAGAGATTTCTCAGGAGACAGATGAGGTGATCAGGCACTCCCATTTCTTTAAGAACTTGCCATAGTTTGCTGTGGTCGACACAGTCAAAGGCTTTTGCATAGTCAATGAAGCAGAAGTAGATGTCTTTCTGGAACTCTCTAGCTTTCTCCATAATCCAGCGCATGTTTGCAATTTGGTCTCTGGTTCCTCTGCCCCTTCGAAATCCAGCTTGCACTTCTGGGAGTTCTCGGTCCACATACTGCTTGAGCCTTCCTTGTAGAATTTTAAGCATAACCTTGCTAGCGTGTGAAATGAGTGCAATTGTGCGGTAGTTGGAGCATTCTTTGGCACTGCCCTTCTTTGGCATTGGGATGTAGACTGATCTTCTCCAATCCTCTGGCCACTGCTGAGTTTTCCAAACTTGCTGGCATATTGAGTGTAGCACCTTAACTGCATCATCTTTTAAAATTTTAAATAGTTCAGCTGGAATACCATCACTTCCACTGGCCTTGTTATTAGCAGTGCTTTCTAAGACCCATTTGACTTCACTCTCCAGAATGTCTGGCTCAAGGTCAGCAACCACACTACCTGGGGTATATGAGACATCCATATTTTTCTGGTATAATTCCTCTGTGTATTCTTGCCACCTCTTCTTGATGTCTTCTGCTTCTGTTAGGTCCTTTCCATTTTTGTCCTTTGTTATGGTAATCTTTGTACGAAATGTTCCTTTCATATCTCCAATTTTCTTGAACAGATCTCTGGTTCTTCCCATTCTATTGTTTTCCTCTATTTCTTTGCATTGCTCATTTAAGAAGCCTTCTTGTCTCTTCTTGCTATTTTTTTGAAATCTGCATTCAATTTCCTGTATCTTTCACTATCTCCCTCGCATTTTGCTTGCCTTCTCTCCCCCGCTATTTGTAAGGCCTCATTGGACAGCCACTTTGCTTTCTTGCATTTCCTTTTCATTGGGATGGTTTTCGTTGCTGCCTCCTGTATAATGTTGCGAGCCTCCATCCATAGTTCTTCAGGCACTCTGTCCACCAAATCTAAATCCTTAAACCTGTTCCTCACTTCCACTGTGTATTCATAAGGGATTTGACTTAGATTGTATCTTACCGGCCCAGTGGTTTTTCCTACATTCTTCAGTTTAAGCTTGAATTTTGCTATAAGAAGCTGATGATCTGAGCCACAGTCAGCTCCAGGTCTTGTTTTTGCTGACTATATAGAGCTTCTCCATCTTTGGCTGCAGAGAATATAATCAATCTGATTTCGATGCTGCCCATCTGGTGATGTCCATGTGTAGAGTCGTCTCTTGTGTTGTTGGAAAAGCGTGTTTGTGATGACCAGCTTGTTCTCTTGGCAGAACTCTATTAGCCTTTGCCCTGCTTCGTTTTGAACTCCAAGGCCAAACTTGCCAGTTGTTCCTTTTATCTCTTGATTCCTACTTTAGCATTCCAATCCCCTATAATGAGAAGAACATCCTTCTTTGGTGTCATTTCTATAAGGTGTTGTAAGTCTTCATAGAATTGGTCAATTTCAGTTTCTTCAGCACCAGTAGTTGGTGCATAAACTTGGATTACTGTGATGTTAAAAGGTCTGCCTTGGATTCGTATCGAGATCATTCTATCATTTTTGAGATTGCATCCCAGTACAGCTTTCGCCATTCTTTTGTTGACTATGAGGGCCACTCCATTTCTTTTACGGGTTTCTTGCCCACAGTAGTAGATATGATGGTCATCCGAACTGAATTCGCCCATTCCCGTCCATTTTAGTTCACTGATGCCCAGGATGTCAATATTTATTCTTGTCATCTCATTTTTGACCACATCCAACTTGCCCAGGTTCATGGTTCTTACATTCCAGGTTCCTATGCATTATTTTTCTTTACAGCATTGGACTTTCCTTTCGCTTCCAGGCATATCCGCAACTGAACGTCCTTTCGGCTTTAGCCCAGTCATCAGCTCTGGATCTACTTGTACTTGTCCTCCGCTCTTCCCCAGTAGCATGTTGGACGCCTTCCGACCTGAGGGGCTCATCTTCCAGCGTCATAACTTTTATATGCCTGTTGTCTTTGTCCATGGAGTTTTCTTGGCAGGGATACTGGAGTGGCTTGCTGGTTCCTGCTCCAGGTGGATCACATTTGGTCAAAACTCTCCACTATGACCTCTTCATCTTGGGTGCCCTGCTCGGCATAGTTCATAGCTTCTCTGAGTTCTTCAAGCCCCTTCGCCACGGCAAGGCAGTGATCCATGAAGGGGGCAGTGATCCATGAAGGGGCATGCCTCTTTTATACTAGTCCAAATCTTTTACATCTCTATTATATCCAAAATTCACCATAAAACTATAAGTGTTATTCCAATCCTACTAACAATTTCAACAGTTTACAGTGGTTTTTAAGAACGTTATTTAGCTCTCAAGGCAATTTCCCATTGACTGCTGTGCAGCGCCCCCTGGTGACACATTTTTACAACACATTTAAACATTATAACTCACCAGTATAAATTAGTCCTTATTCCGGTCTCACAGTTATTTTACCTTTCCGAGATTGTTTTTATATATGCTGTAAGCTGAACTAATTAAGAAATGCAGTATGATATTAGACCATCCCTCCCTGAACTTCAGAGCATGGGAAGTCGCCCAAAAGATATGTAATATGGCATTGAATATTTGGCTTTTTTGATTGCATTATAATTTGGAATGTTTTAATGTGGTTTTTATTGGATGGTTAAAAATAAAATAAAAATTATTATTTAATAAATTGTATAAGTGTATATAAATATGTGTGTATATAATTTATTAAATATTATTTAATACAGTGGTACCTCGGGTTAAGTACTTAATTCGTTCCTGAGGTCCATACTTAACCTGAAACTGTTCTTAACCTGAAGCACCACTTTAGCTAATGGGGTCTCCTGCTGCTGCTGAGCCGCCAGAGCATGATTTCTGTTCTCAACCTGAAGCAAAGTTCTTAACCTGAAGCACTGTTTCTGAGTTAGCAGAGTCTGTAACCTGAAGCCTATGTAACCCGAGGTACCACTGTAATGATATTTAATAATATTTATTAATTTCTGGAAGCTGCCCAGAGTGGCTGGGGCAACCCATTCAGATGGGCAGGGTATTTTATTATTATTATTATTATTATTATTATTATTATTTCTCCCCACCAGATGCTGGGCAAGGCGTGTGTGAACGGCGCCCCCAAGTGTGTGGTCCCGGGCGCTGCATCCCCCGCCAGGGTGGCTACACCTGTGTGTGCGACCGCGGCTTCTGGCTGAGTCCTCAGGGCACCCACTGCATTGGTGAGGGGCGCAGGGGGGGTGGCAAGAGAAGCAGGAGGCTCTGAGGGGGCGCAGGGAGAAGGCAACTCTTTGGGGATGCAGAGGCGCTTGCCCAGAGTTCAGCTTCCGAAGCTGAGCATAGGGAGATTCGGGATGGATAAAAGGAAGGACTTCTTCACGCAGTGTCTTGTTCACCTGTGGAACTCCCTTCCACAAGACCACCAACCTGGATGGCTTTGAAATTCACGAAGGAGGAGAGGGCTTCCGATGGCTCCTCCACAGTTGCAGGCAGAAATGCTTCTGAATCCCAGTTGCCGGAAGCCAGAGCAGGGGAGAGGGGGTCTGGGGTTCAAATCCTGCAGGTTTCCCAGAACAGGTTGGCTGCTGTGAGAACAGGAGGCTGGCAGGCCATGGGCCTCATCCTGCAGGATCCTCTTGTGTTCTTAGGAAGCTTTGAGGGTGTGCATGGCATCAGAAGGCGGCCTCAGAAGAGCCCGAGGTGCCCACCCCCCCCAGCCAGGGGCCCCAAGGAACTGGGTGCCAGAGGGGCCACAAGCCCCCATAGCAGCCATCGCGACTGGCACTCAGAGGTGTTTTCTGCCTCCCCCAGCGGAGGTGGAGCTCACTGTTGTGGCACTTGGGGAAATCTGTGGCCCGTAAGCTCAGCTTAGGAAAGCAGGCCGTACATGCTCAGAGGTAGCCTCTCCGGGAGTGTTTCACAGAGCTCAGCTTTTTCGGGCTATGGGGGGCAGCCAGGGCCGGGTTGAGGTCTGATGAGGCCCTCAGCTCCGGAAGGGAATGGGGCCCGTCCTATATCCAGCTGTCCTTTGTCCACAACAAATGGTCACTGGTTTTTGTGTTGAATATATGCTAGATGGTCATTTATGGACCTCATAAGTATCTCAAGCCATTTGCACATCACAAAATGTGTATTTTATCAAAGTAATTGTTGAACTGAAATACAGTTAAGAAGTATATTAATAGTGAAATAATTATTAAGCTCTAACTTAAAATGATTGGGGGCCCATGACTTACCGTATTTTTCGCCCTATAGGACGCACTTTTTCCCCTCCAAAAATGAAGGAGAAATGTGTGTGCGTGCTATGGGGCGAATGCAGGCTTTCGCTGAAGCCTGGAGAGCGAGACGGGTCGGGGCGCACGGACCCCTCTCGCTCTCCAGGCTTCAGGAAGATATCCGCCTGCCTTGGGAGCCCAGCGGGAGTTGCCACCGGGCTCGCAAGGCTTGCGGATAGCAGCCTGTTCTGCGGTCGGGGGAAGCTCGGGCTTCCCCAGCCCCGCAGCTGGGGGGGGGGATTTTTTTTTATTTATTTCCCCCCCAAAAAACAAGGTGCGCCCTATGGGCCAGTGCGCCCTATAGGGCGAAAAATACAGTACATCATAGGAGCCTACACAACACAAAACACTGTTGCTGGATGTAGGTTTTATTTGATTTGGGGTTTTTTATCATATATTTTGGAAATGTACATCCAGGTTTTCTCCCCTTTAATTTTTTTGGGGGCCCCCAAGAGAGTGGGGCCCTAAGCTAGAGCTTGTTTAGTTTATACGTAAATCCAGCATTGGGGGCAGTGGCAATGTGGGGTGGGGTTTGGGCTGCGTGTCTCCGTGGCACAACTTCTTTCCTTCCCCCTGACCCCCCTCTCTTCTTACCCTTCCCCCCCCAGACGTGGACGAGTGCCGGCGGAGCCCCCGCCCCTGTGCCAACGGGCGCTGCGAGAACTCGGTGGGCAGCTTCAGCTGCAGGTGCCGGGCCGGCTACCAGGCGGACCCCTCCGGCTCCGAGTGCCAGGGTGGGTGTGGGGCAAAGAGGGAGGGGGGCTGGGATGATGGCTCCCTTCCTCAGCCTCGAAGCAACACTCTCTTCCTCTTCCTCCCCCAGACATTGACGAATGTGCCAAGACCCCCCCGCCGTGTGCCAACGGGCGCTGCCAAAACACCCCCGGCTCCTTCCGCTGCTCCTGCCCCCCCGGCTACGTTCCCAGCCCCACCGGCTTTGAATGCAGAGGTAACGGGGAGGGGGGGTCCCTTCCTGTCTGGGAGGGAGAGGCTGGAGGGGAAACTGAGGCTCCGGAGGCTTCGCGTTGCTTTCACAGAAGCCTGGGGAGTGAGAGGGGTCAGTGCCAACCAACGCCTTTCGCTCTCCAGGCTTCCAGGTTAGCTGCCTGAAGCCTCCAGAGTGCAGCGGGACTTCGGAGGCTTCGGGTTGCCTTCACTGAAGGCGACTGAATGCACCTTGAACGCACTGAACGCACCTTGTTTTAGAGGGGGAGAACAAGAAAAAAAATCTCCCCCTCTCTGCGCAGCGCCCCTTCAGCCCAGCGGGAGGAGAAATGGAAGGGGCTTCGTTTCTCCTGCCGCTTCGCTGAAGGGGCGCTGGGCAGAGAGGGGGAGAATTTTTTTTCCTTGTTCTCCCCCTCTGAAACAAGGTGCATCCTATGGTCGGGTGCGTCCTATAGAGCGAAAAATATGGTATGTGTCAATTGTTTTGCAATGAAGTTAGAAAGAAAAAAGAAAGAAAAATTCAAATCAGTTTCCCGCAGTCTTTTCCAAGCCGAAAGTTGAATGTGACCCCTTTCTCTCCCCCCAGATGTGGACGAATGCTCCCAGAGCCCCCCGCCCTGCGCCCGCGGCCGCTGCCAGAACACGCCCGGCTCCTACCAGTGCAGCTGCCCCTCTGGCTTCCAGCCCGGCCCCACGGGCACCGAATGCCTGGGTGAGAGAGGGCGCCCCCTTGCCCCCCTTCCTGCGGCCCCCGAAGACTGCCTCCTGGGGGAAGCTGCCTTGCCCTGGCTCAGACCATTGGCCCCACCTGCCTCAGCATTGCTTACACAGGCTGGCAGCAGCGGCGGCAGCAGCCCTCCCAGCCCTCCCTGTAGATGCTGCCACCAGGGAGGGAGCCAGGGTGCCTTCTGCATGCCAAGCAACTGCTCTCGACACAGAGCCCTTTTGCAGAACGTTCCCCCAACCTGCCTCCTCCTGGGACCCAGCGGCAGAGAAAACCGGGGGTCCCAGCCAGGGTGGGTTTGATTTAAATCACAATTTAAATCACTAGTCGGTAAGGCTTGATTGAAATCATATTTTTATATATATATACAGAAAGACTCGTTCTTGCTGGTATCATCTTAATATTTACAACCAGAGGAGGGTTTCCTTTTTGGAATCATAAATTTTCAGAGTAGTTTTTACAGTTATATCAACAATTCCTGATTAAACTATTAGAAATACCTAGACAGGTAATTATGAAATTATGGTGAGGTTTCATAAGTTAGCTGGTTATATCTGGACAACTTTTCTGCTGTACTTGATTGGAAGGAGATAAATAATCATTTCCTTAATAACCTTTTCAACTATGTATTTAACTAAAACAATAACATTATAGCATATGTGTCCATGTTTGTTAAACATGTGGTTAAACAGTCTTTTAAAAAAATAATAATAATAATTAAGAGTTTTAGCACACATGAAAAACTTAAAACAAATCCTTATTTCCTGATGAATAGCCTTTGGACTATAATGTAACTTAAATAGAAAACTATGTTTAGAAAGATTTTTCCTCCAAAAGCATTTTATTTTAAAAATCTGATTTAAATTTTTTAAAAAATCCGATTTAAATCAAAAAAATTGATCATTGATTTTTATCCACCCTGGTCCCAGCCAGCCAGCCCCATCTCCACATGCCCAGTGGGGGGCTTCCAGACCACCATGGCCCCCGTCCCTTGGGAGGGAGGGAGGGTCGGGCGCAGAGCAGCCCCCAGACCTCCATTGCTGTTCTTTTGCAGACGTGGACGAGTGCCGGGAGACCCCCACCATCTGCCAACCCGGCCGCTGTGAAAACGTCCCTGGGGGCTACCGCTGCAGCTGCCCCATCGGCTACCAGCCCCACCCGCTGGGCACCCAGTGCGTAGGTAAGAGCGCCAAGGAAAGCGCGGAGACACTGCCGCTGCCTTGGGGTCCACGTCCCCCCACTTTCCCGGAGACTGCTTCCAGGGCTGGGCAGGGGGGCGGGAAGACAAGAGCACCCTCACGATGCGCACAGCTCTCGATTTCGAAAGGTGAATCTGGAGATGTTTGGTGCGGCGCAGTCAGCGGTTTGAGTGTTGGCTCGGGACCTGGGAGACCAGGGTTCGAATCCTCCCGCTCGGCCACAAAGCCCGCTGGGGGGTCCTCTGGCCAGTCGCTGCCGCTCAGCCTGGCCCACATCGTGGGGGGGGGGGTTGAGAGAATAAGGAAGGGACTGAGGGAACTCACCTTGAGCACCTGGGTGGGTAAGTGAGATATAAAGAAGAAAAAATTGGTCATGGTGAAATTCTGTGTGTCTCTTCTTTCTCCCCCCCCCCCACCAGATGTGGATGAATGCCAGCAGAGCCCCCCGCCCTGTGGGTCTGGGCGCTGCGAGAACGTGCCCGGCGGGTACCGCTGCCTCTGCCCTGCGGGATTCCGCGCCAGCCTGACGGAAAACCAATGCCTGGGTGAGAGGCGGAGAGTGGAGGCGCCTCGCTTGGGGGGGCTTTGGGGTTGGGCTCAGCCCCACGGGGCCCCTGACTCTCCCCATCTGCCCCTTTCCAGACATGGACGAGTGCGCCGCGGGAACGCCCTGCGGGCCTCAAGGGCGCTGCATCAACACGGAGGGCTCCTTCCGCTGCCAGTGTGGACGAGGGTACCGCGCAGAGGGCACAGGGACGTCCTGCGTGGGTGAGGGGGGCAGGGGGCGGGCGACTGAGGCAGGGGGGGCGGGGATTTGGCATTGGGCACCCCTGGGGGCAGACCCTGCCCACCTCCGCTGATTCCCTTGGCAGCGTGTTCTGGTGTGCTCTGCCAGGGCACAGGGTTGGGCTGGATGACCCTTAGGGGTCCCTTGCAAAAACAAACTTTGGTGGGGCAGCCCTTCTGGAGTTTGAAGGTGGCCCCCCGGCCCCCTCTGAGCCTCCTCTCCCTCCCCCGGCTGAGCACCCCCAACTCCCCCCGCCTCTTTCTCTGCCCCCCAGACGTCAACGAGTGCCTGGAGGGCGACTTCTGCTTCCCGCGAGGCGAGTGCCTCAACACCGAGGGCTCCTACACTTGCCTGTGTGCCCAGGGCTTCACCATCGCCCCCAGCGGGGCCTCCTGCATCGGTAAGCGGCCCCGAGGGCCACCCGAGGGCCGCCTGGCGCGGGATGCAGGCTGGCACAGATGCAGCCTGGCAGACGGAGGGAGGCGGCCATCTTGGATCTCTTCCTTTTTTATATATATTTATTTATTAGTTTTTTTAACATATCATTTCCAACAATCATATAACATAATTTCTTATCTTATACAATATTTTTTACTTCCGTCAGCTCCTCTGCTGATAAACAACTTACAGTCCTGTCTATTTATATCATCTCCTACAGTGCCAAGTAAAAATGCTTCCGGTTTCTTAATAAATGTATATTTCGACATCTTTTTCATCTCGTTATATATCATTTCCCAGAAGTTTTTCACTTTTTTACATTCCCACCACATGTGATAAAATGTTCTTTGCTTTTCCTTTACATTTCCAACATTAATTGCTTATTTTATACATTTTAGCTAATTTCACGTCTTGGATCTCTTCCATGGGGGTTGGCGGGGGGGCGGGCACCTCCCTGCCGTGCTGACCCCCTCCTTCCCTCCCTCCCCACAGATATTGATGAATGCCAACCGGGCACGGCGTGTGCCGGGGGCCACTGCGCCAACACCGAGGGCTCTTTCGACTGCTACTGCCCGCCGGGCACCCGCAGCAGCGCCAACAAGGCCTCCTGCGAAGGTGAGGGGCACCGGGGGGGTGGCAAGAGGAAGACGGGGGGGAGGGCCAAGGAAACCCTGACCTGGGCCTGACCTCCCGCTCCCCTAGATATCGACGAGTGCCAGGAGTATGGGGCGGCCCTCTGTGGGACGCAGCGCTGTGAGAACACGCCCGGCTCCTACCGCTGTGTGGCAGATTGCCAGGCTGGCTACCGGGCTGGCACCGCGGGAGACTGCATTGGTGAGTGTTGCTGCAGGGCCCACGTGGGGGGTCTGGGGGGGGTCTGGAAGCCTCTCTTTTGCTCTGGGGCTTCACTAGGTGGACATCTGTCTGGGATGCTTGAGCTGAGATTCTTGCCTTGCCGGGGGTGGACTACAGGACCTTTGGCGTCCCCTCCAACTCTACGATTCTGTGATTTCTGAGGCTGCCAAGGAGTCCCCACCTCCTTTATTGCTGGGGGGGGTATTATTGGGTTATTGTTTTTATTTTGGTTTTATATATTGTGATCTAGGACCCTCGTACCTACGGGCCCGCCTCTCCTGGTCTGCCCCGCGGAGGACCTTAAGGTCCACAAATGACAACATTTTGGAGGTCCCAGGTCGCAAGGTGGTTAGATTGGTCTCAACTGGGCCAGGGCCTTTTCAGTGCTGGCCCCAACTTGGTGGAACGCTCTGTCACAAGAGACCAGGGCCCTGCGGGACTGGACATCTTTCCGCAGGGCCTGCAAGACAGAGCTGTTCCGCCTGGCCTTTGGTCAGGGCGCAGTCTGACCCTTGTGTTTCCCTCCCCTTATGGTTTTGACTTTTAAAATAAGGCTGCATTTTAAATTGCATTTTAACCTGTATTTTAAATTGGTGGGGTTTTTTCCTAATATGTTTTTACTGTAATTTTACTGGTGTTAGCCACCCTAAGCCCGGCTCTTGCTGGGGAGAGCGGGCTATAAATAAAATTTATTTCCTGAAGCTGCCCCTGTCCGACTTGAGAGGCTCTTGAAGCTGAATGCTGCAAGGTTCAGGGCAGGTGAAAGAAAGTCCTCCTTCGCCAAGTTGAACTGTGGAACTCCCTCCCACAGTGACGGCCACCAACCTGGCTGGCTTTCAAAAAATCCATGGAGGAGGAGGGACGCCTATGGCTGGCTCTCAGCTACAGTGGCTCCGCCTCCCGGTTGCTGCAAACCCCAAGAGGGGAGAGTCCCCATTGCTCTCAAGTCGTGTGACCCCTTGAGATCAGGACGCTGGACTCTCTGCTCTGCTGTCCTGATGCAGCAAGCTCTGTGGACGCTCTTATGTTTGACATCACGTTTTGTGGTCCTTCCCTGCCCCACAACATGTTCATATGGGGCCTTCCTTCAGACATCAACGAATGCCAGGAGTACGGCGTGAGCCTCTGTGGGGAGAAGCGCTGCGAAAACACCCCGGGGTCCTACCACTGTGTCGCCAGCTGCCAGACGGGCTACCAGGCCACAGCCACCGGGGACTGTGTGGGTGAGTCCCGGGGGGGAGGGGTGACAAAGGGGCAAACCCATCAGGTGGGAGGGGGCGCCTCCTGCCCCCGAGCCAGGCTGGCAAAGGGGTGCAAGCTGTGGGAATGTTCAGGGAGGCAGGAGAGGATATATTGTTTATTAATATCCTTCCTAACTTGAGCTAGCAAGTTCCTTTACTTAGCAGAGTTTCACATTCCCCTTTTAAACGCACAGCAGGCAGCTGGTTGCAGGCTTGTGTAAGCCTCTCACTATTAAGTTCCTGGTAAGTCCCCTTATATCCCTCTTAAAAGAATAAACACACCACAGTCTTGTGTCAAGTATATAAAACAAGTTTACTCACATCAGTTCACAGTTGGATCCCTGAAGGCAGACTTAGTTACAAAGGATATACATGTGGGTCTATCCCATATGGGGATAATCCCAGTGTCCTTTGTCGGCTGAAAGACAAAAGGGCATTTCTAGCTAAAAAGCTGCTCCAATGACAGAGAAAGTCAAAAAGAGAGAGTGTGGCAGCATGCCTTGTCCTTTTATTACCTGGACAGGTAAGGTCACACCTTACCTGTCCCAGCCAGGAGGAAACAGGAAGTTTTTGACGGGCTGGACCAAACATTCCTGCATGTCCACTCTAGGAAAACAAGGAATGTTGTACTTGACTGCTACTTACATATCCCACCCCACACAAGCCTGCGGTGGGTGGAGGGAGAGAGCGAGTGCTGAGTGGGTTGCCCTGCTGTCTTCCAGACGTGGACGAGTGCCAGAACAGCTCCCTCTGTGGATCCCACGCCGTCTGCCACAACCTGCCCGGCTCCTTCCAGTGCATCTGTGACCAGGGCTACGAGAGCGCCAGGGACGGGCGCCATTGCCTGGGTACGTGGCCGGGGCGAGGGAGGGAGGTTGGCGATGCCCGCGTTCTCCACCAAGGTCTCCTGGGGAAGGGGCTGCCTCCGTAGGGGGCCTGGCATGCTGCCAGGTGGGGGACAAGGGGCAGAGGGGATGGGGCAGGTGGGGGCCGCTCCCCGGTGAGCCCCTCCGCCATCACCCCCCTTTGCTGCCCCCCACAGACATGAACGAGTGTGAGATGCTGCAAGGGGTGTGTGGCACCGCCCCCTGTGAGAATGTGGAGGGCTCCTTCCTCTGCATCTGCCCCCGGGCGGGCGAAGAATTTGACCCCATGGTCGGGCGCTGTGTTGCTGTGCCAGGAGCCGGTGAGAGGCTTGGAGCTGGGGCTGGGGGGGGGGTCCTTTCTCCACTGGGGAGTCGCTTCCCCCCTCAATCATCCCTGCTGCTCTTTCCTGGACCTCCTCCAACTCTCCCCCCTTCCGCCTTTTCCAGCGCGGCCCCCGGCCTTCCCTCGCCGCCCTGAGGCTCCGCGCCCCGAGACCTGGCCCTCCGGGACCGGCGAGGGCGTCCGGCGAGAATGCTACTATGACCCCAACGCAGCGCAGGCGTGCGAGAACGTCTTGGCCTGGAATGCCACGCGCCAGGAGTGCTGCTGCAGCCTGGGCCACGGCTGGGGGGTCGACTGCCACGTCCAGGCCTGCCCCTCCCCAGGGACAGGTAAGGAACCCCCAGAGGCCAGGAAGGGTCCGCTGAGCCCAGAGCCTGAGGGGGGAGTCAAGCCCTCGTCTCATTTCATGCTGTCTTCTTTTTAACACTCAGTTGGAAGCCGCCCAGAGTGGCTGGGGAAACTCAGCCAGATGGGCGGGGTATAAAAAACAAATTATTTATTTATTTATTTATTTATTTATTTTTAATCCCCGCAACAACAACCCTGTGAGGTAGGCTGGGCTGAAGCAGTCACTGACCCTGGTCACGCAGGGAGAGCTTCGTGGTCCATGTCCTAGTCCAGGGGTCCTCAAACTTTTTCAGCAGGGGGCCGGTCCACTGTCCCTCAGACCTTGTGGGGGGCAGGACTATATTTGGGGGGGAATGAACGGCAGCAGAGGGACGATGAGTGGCAAGTAAACGGGCTCTGGAGAGGGGCTGGCACCAACATAGCCCAGCCCGCTTCCTCCTCTGGGCAGGGCAGGGAGAAGTCAGGAGGAGGGAGGGAGGAGGCACCAGCGCCACCGCCCTGTGAGGGAGAGGGAAAGAACGCGCGCTGGCAATCCATGCGGCGATTCCCGGACCGTCCGCCCTGTGCAGTGCTTGGAGTCACAAGACTCTGTTTACATTCCAGACCGTTGGAAGTCTCACGGGAGACAGATGTTGATGTTACTGGTTTCCTGTTTCTTTGTACCAGTTGTTCTCTGCCTTTCACAGAGAGAGGCTGTATATTCTTTTCTGTCTGTGTAGTTAGAAATAAAACTCTTAGCAATGTAGCTCATATTTTTCGTCCTTCTGCCGCTTGGATACTCTGTGTAATGAGTGAAGGTGCCTGAAGCCTCATCAAAGGCTTAGGTCGTTAATCATCTTCAGCCCACCCATGTCCCACACTCCAACCACTAGGCCACACTGCCTGTTATGGTGGGGGAGTGAGCTTCTGCAGGGTTCTGCAAGCAGGGAAGGAGCAGAGGGTCCTTGGGCGCGGCTGACGGGTCCTCTCCTCCTTCCGCCCCCCAGCTGAGTACCAGGCCCTGTGTCCTCACGGCAACGGCTTTGCTGCCCCCACCACTGGAAGCCTCTCCGCCCTCGCAGGTGAGATGTTCTGCTCTCGGGGGGCTTTTGCCGGGGGGAACCTGTGCCCTGCCCACCCTCCTGGGTCTGTCCTTGGCACCTGGGAGGCACTGGGGTTTCTGGGCGCGGTGCCCTTGGTCCTGGGGGGCTCTCTCGCTGACCCTCTCCTTGTCCTGGGCAGATGTGGATGAGTGCGCCCTCTTCAACGCCCAGGTGTGCAAGGGGGGTGTCTGCGTCAACAAGGTCCCCGGCTACGCCTGCTACTGCCCCAACGGCTACTACTACGAGACACAGCACCTGGAGTGCATTGGTGAGAGCCTCTGTCCGCCTCCAAACCCCCTGCTGCCCCAATTATGCCCCTGAGGGACCCCACGGGTAAAGAGGTCCCTCCTTGCACCCACACGTGCCCACTTGACCAGCTGCATCAGCGGACCTGGCACTCCTGCAGGTGCCGCAGGCTGCCCACATTGGCAAGAAATCAATTAACCCTGACCCTTTGGAACTCCCTGCCTCTTGAAATCAGGCCGTGCCCCCTTCACTGTGTTTGAAACGTCCCCATTTAGAGAAGCCGAACCAGTGCTTTCCCCTAAAAAAATAAATGCTTAGGGGTACTCTCATTTTGACAGTAAATGGACTAAAGTACAAAGATTCACAAAATGTTTAGGGGTCTGTGTCCCCCCCAGAAAAAAGCACTGAGCCTAACCCAGATGTTCAGTCTGTTTTAAGCCTATTAAATTTCTGAACGTTTTAAACTATTATTGATAGCTATATTATATTTTTCTGGAAGAAGCTTAGCTGTTGTTTTTGCAATTGAGTGGCGTATAAACTTTGGGAACTAGCTAAATTGCAGAGGGTTGCATGATCCTTCGCGTCTTTTCCCGACTCTGCAATTCTATGATTCTGCAAAACGAAGGGGCCCCCCTGCTCCTCTGACCCCCCCTTGTCCCTCCCCAGATAACGACGAGTGCCTTGACGAGGAGGCGGAGCCTTGCGTGGGAGGGCGCTGCATCAACACCATTGGCTCCTACTACTGCTCCTGCGCCGCCCCTCTGGTGCTGGACGCTTCGCATCGCCGCTGTGTGACCAATGACAGCCAAGGCGCAGGTATGGGGCAGACCCCTTAGTGCAACGCACAACCCCCCTTCCCTCCCCACTTTGCGGCTAAGGCAGTTAAGGTCCGGGGGGAGCTCTGCATCCCATTCACAGGTAGGGGGCACCTGGGAGGGTGGGCAGGTGTGCTGGGCCTCCATTTCTCGCACTTAACTGTGGGTGCTAAGTCCGTGGACCTGGGGGAAGCATTCTGACCTCTTCTGGGCTCACCTCTTTCCCCAAAGTTATGGGCCAGCGGTTGCCAAATCTTGTGGCAGTGGGTTCCAGAGGCTAATTTCTTTGGCCATCTTCAGCCTCGCCAGTTCTTTTGCAGTTTGATCCCTCAGGATTTTGGAAGGGATCACTCCGTGTGAGATTCCTGCGGAGGGCTGATGCTCCAGCTCAGCGGATCCCAAACTTTTTCCAGGACTTGCCTCCTTGATTCCGTACACTCCGCCCCAGATCCAGATCTGGTCATTTGGGCTCTTCGTGTTTACTCTCCTCCACTCCGCAGGATCCCTGTGAACAGGATCTGTGCTGGTTTGGGGCCTGGGGGGAGGGGGCAGGAAGAGGGCCTGGCCCCCATAGATGCGCCTTGGGGCGGTTTCTCCACTTCTCCTGCTCTCCCTGCCTTCCAGATGACAACCTGGCCGTGTGCTGGCAAGAGGTGGGGCCCGACTTGGTCTGCAGCCGCCCCCTCCTGGACCGCCAGGTCACCTACACCGAGTGCTGCTGCCTCTATGGCGAGGCCTGGAGCATGGACTGCGCACTGTGCCCAGCCCCGGACTCAGGTAAGACCCGGGGGGGCTGGGGGGAAGGCGGGGCAGCCAAAGTCCTGCTGGATCAGGCCCATCGAGCCCAGCATCCGGGCCTCCCAGGGGCCAAAGGCAGTGGCACCTCGGTTGCCAAACGTAATCCGTTCTGGGAGTCCATTTGAAAACCAAAGCGTGTCAGATGTTCGGCTTCTGAAAAACGTTCGCAAACCACAACACTCACTTCTGGGTTTGTGGCGTTCAGGAGCTGTTTGACAACCAAGGTACCACTGTACCCCTAATGTTTAGTCCAAAGTCATGAGTTCGAGTGCTGCTTTAGTTGCAATTCCTACATTGCCAAGTGTGGGTTTCCTCTTTCGCCCTTTGAATCCCTTTGTGCTACAAGGGGGAGACCTGGGAGCAGGGCCAGATTTATGGGTAAGCTAAACAAGCTCTAGCTTAGGCTCCACTCTCTTGCCCCCCCCCCAAAAAATTAAAGTGAATAAAAAACTGGATGTGCATTTCCAAAATATAAGATAAAAAACAAATCAAATAAAACCTACATCCAGCAACCGTGTTTTGTGTTGTGTCGGCTCGTACGATGCCAGTCATGGGTCCCGCCTGCTCCCTCAAATATCCCTGGTTTGCTCCTTTCTATATATAGGGTGCCCACATTCTGCCTGGACTGGTTGCAGGGCAACATGGGCAAAGGGCTTGAGATACCTATGAGGCCCATCAATTACCATATAGCATATATTCAACAGAAAAACAGCGACCATTGGTTGCTGACAAAGGACAGCTGGACATAGAAAGGGCCCCATTACCTTCAGGAGCTGAGGGCCTCATCAAACCTTAATCCGGCCCTGCCTGGGACCCAATCTCCTGTAACGCCCCCTCCCCCAGGCCCACTTGCAGATGCCCCCCCCCGACCTTTGGGAAGGGGGGAGAGAAGAGGCCTTGTGACCCTCCCTGACCAACAATCTCCTTCTCCCCCCAACCAGATGACTTTGAGACCCTCTGCAACGTCCTCCGCCCCCCCACCAGCTACGGAGCAGGGCCGCGCCCAGGAGGTGTGGGGCCACCCTTTGAGTACGGGGGTCTGCCCTACGGCCCAGAGATCTTCGGCCCCCCGCCGCGCCCCGGACCCCCCCGCCTGCCGGACTACGACCTCTTCCCCCGCGACTCCCTGTACGGCCCCTCGCCCTACGAGGCCACCGACTTTGAGGACCTGCCCTACGGCGAGGCCAGGCGGGAGGGCCCCGGAGAGAGCCCCCGGGGGGTGTACCGGCCCCGCAGCCCCCCCGAGCCCGAATGGCACCTGCCCCCACCCCGCAGCGGCTCCAGCTCCTACCTGGAACGGCCGGGAAGGGCCAGCGAGGACTATGGTGAGTGGAGTGGTCTCCCCCAAACTGTTCTCACAGTGGCCAGGTGCCCCTAAGAACCCAGGTAGACTGCCTCTGGACCTGGGGGGTTCCATTAGAAGGGCCCGGCCAGTAGATCAGGTCTGTGGCTCGTATAGTCCAGGATCCTCTTCACACAGTGGGAAGCCAGATGTCCCAGTGGGAAGCCTCCGCAAGCAGGATCTGCACCCAAGACCCCTCTTCCCTCTTGTGGTTTCCAACAACTGGGAGTCAGACGCAGTGATTGCTTCTGACTCACGGAGGCAGAGCTAAGAGCCACCTGTCACCATGGATGTGGTCTAACCCTATTTGAAAGCCATGCAGACCTGTGGCTGCAGCTGCCTCTGGTGGAAGGGAGTTCCACAGTTTGTGCCGAAGGAATCGGCCCTTTTTTCTAAATCTGCCCTGGATCTGTTCATTGGACGTCCACAAGTTCTGGTGTTAGGAGAGAGGAAATCTTTCTCCAGGCTGGGGGGTTAAATTCATCTACGACTCCCTTTTCCCCCAGTGCTTTTTTTTTTTTTTTTGCTTAAAAAATGCTTAGGGGTACTCTCATTTTGACTCGAGAAAAACACCGTTTTATAGTCCAAATCAGGAAAAATAAATACAGTAGTCCAAATCAGGAAAAATAAAGAAATAGAGTGGTACCTCTTGATTGCGAACAGGATCCGTTCCGGAGGCCCATTCGCAACAAGAGCAGAACGCAACCCGCATCTGTGCATGCAGCGATTCACCGCTTCTGCGCATGCATGTGACATCATTTTGCGTGTCTGCGCATGCACAAGCGGCGAAACCCGGAAGTAACCCTTTCCGGTACTTCTGGGTTGCCGCGGGACGCAACCTGAAAACGCTCAACCTGAAGCAAATGTAACACGAGGTATGACTGTACATGTTGAGTGCGTTCAGGTTGCGCTCCGCAGCAACACCGAAGTAACCGAGTGCATTACTTCTGGGTTTCGCCGCTCGCGCATGTGCAGATGCTCAAAATGACGTCACGCACATGCGCAGAAGTGGCGAAAAGCGACGCACGCAGACGTGCCATCGTTAGTTATGTTTGCTTCTGGATGCGAACGGGGCTCCGGAACGGATCCTGTTCGTATCCAGAGGTACCACTGTACAGTAAATGGACAAAAGTACAAAGATTCACAAAATGTTTTGGGGTCTGCGTACCCCCAGAAAAAAGCACTGCTTTTTCCTAAGCTGGAAAGCCCCATGGGCTGCACCCTTCCTCTCAGGGGCATCGCTCCTCCCCCTGGATCCTTTGCGCGCCCCTTTCCTAACTCTACAAAATCCTTCCTGGGGGGAGGAGACCAGACCTGGGCACATATCCTCTTCCGCTTGCCCATCTCTCTTGCCCCCCCTCCCCAGGCCCCTTTGAGGGATTTGGGGGTCTCCTGGCCGAGGAGTGTGGGATCCTGAGCGGCTGCGAGAACGGGCGCTGCGTCCGCGTTGGCGACGGATTCACCTGCGACTGCCACGAGGGCTACCGCCTGGATCCTGCCCGCATGGCCTGCCTGGGTGAGTCTGCCCCCCGCCCCGCCATCCTGGCACGCCTGGGGGTGGGACCCCCAAGTGTCATCTATCCCAACCCCCTTTTGCGCCTCCTCGCTTGCTTCTGCCCCTTTGCCCACGCCAAGGTTTCGTCTCTCTCTCCCTCTTCTGCAGATGTCGACGAGTGTGGCGAGTCGGAGCACCTCTGCCCAGGGGGGCGCTGCCTCAACATGGAGGGCTCCTACCGCTGCCTGTGCCCCCGTGGCACCGTGCCCGCTGGGCAGCCCCCCCGTTGCGTCCCTGCCCCCCGCAGTCGAGCCTGAGCAAGAGGGGAGGAAGAGGCTGGGGAAAAGTATTTATTTACCTGTATAGACTGGGAGGGGAGGGGCGGCCCGGAATAAAATCCTCTCCCCCCCCCCAGCAAATGGAGGCTCCTCACCCAGGGAGACCCAGAGGAGGCGGCCTGGAAATGCACTTATATTGGGGGGGGGGCGGAAGCAGCTCTTGTCCACTCCCACCTTCGCCTGCTGCATCAGCGCAGAAGTCGCAAAATAGGATTTAATCCCCCGTCGTTGAGGAAATACTTGTAGTCAAAAAGAACCTGCCTTGGGAAGGGGGGGCATTCAGCAAACTGAGCTTTTTGTCCCCCCCCCCCAATTTAAAAAGCCTCCACTCTGCCCCACTGGATTTGCCCCATTGCTCTTATGGCTTTGGAAGATGCTTTTGTAAAGGCCAGGCCACTTTCCTCACCAGCTGGGGTGGGGTGGCACGGAGGCTATTTCTGCACTCTGCGCGAGGCCCTGCGCCCTCTTTTCCACACACACCCCAGCCTCCTGGGCCTTTAGATGCTGGAGCCTTGCAGATCTCGCCCCAGAGTCCGCCTGGGCCAAATTCTCTGGTGCCCCCTGGGCAACCCAGTCTGTTTGCCAAAGAAAGCCAGGATGCCTTGCTGGGTGGGCCGCCACCCCCCCCCCCGCTGGAATGTGGGGTAAGTGCCCCCCACCCTATCCCAAAGCTGTAATGAGGGTGGGGAGAAGAACCCCCCTGGGGGTTGGTTTTGGGAAAATACATTCCCAACTGGGTCATGTGCCCCCTTGGTCTTCCAGAACTGGCAGAGAAGGGCTTCAACCCCCCCCCCCCAGCCCCACATCCTTCCTAGGAGATCCAGACACCCCCCCACACCCCCCGAGGCAACAAGGGCCAGCCCCCCGCTTGCCTGGCTTAGGCCGCCCCCCTCGCCCGCCCCAAAATGGGTGCTCCTGGGGCATCGCCCCCCCCTCACTGCTGTTACTAGAACAATAAAGGTTTTCTACAAAAGGCGGCTGAGTGGGTGTCTCTTGGGAAGGGAGGTGGGGCAGGGAGGGGAGAGGGCAGGGGGTGGTTTTAGGTTGTGGGGGCAGAAAAGAGCCCAGTTCCCGGGCTGGGGGGCGACAAGGGCCTGCAGGGCAACTTGTGGGGGGGCCTTTCTCCCTTCACCGCCTGCGAGGTCTCCTGCTCTCAAATCAGCCAGGGGGGGTTGTGTTTGTGTGTCTTTTGGGGCTTGTGTGTGTGACTCCAACCTGCCCCCCCCGCTCCGTCCGCTAACTGCCCTGAAGGGCACAGAAGCCAGACCCATCCATTTAAATATTCTCCATTCATTCCACAAAGTATTAAAGTGTACATTAAAAGCAAAAGAGGAAAAAAGGCACTTCATATTGGCGAGTTGACCCCCATCTCCCTCCCACCCCAAAACATGCTCCCCCCGGCTCCGTTTTCAGTCTTGTTTGTGGCCAGTTTCCCCTCTGACGGCAGCAGCTCAGCTCTTGCAAAGGTGCTCCTGGCTGGAGATGAGGTTCTGCAAGGTGGAAGCCCCTGTTTTGTAGTTTAAATTAAAACCCAGCAGCTGCTCTCTGCAGGTTGTGGGGGGCGGGGGGAGGCAAGGGTGGAAAGCAAGCCCGTCCCACCCATGGGGGGGCAGGGCGAGGGGCGACCCATTGCCCACTGAGGGGCCTTGTTAAATCTGCTCAGGGGAAAATCCTAGCAGCCTCAGGCAAGGGGGGGGGTAGCAACAGAGCCTGTGCCCTCTGGGGTGGGGGACATGAGAGAGGCCCACCCCCAGCGGCAGAATCTCGTATCCCTGTGTGGAATCAAGTCTCCGTGAGTTCCAACGTCATTCTTTGTTCTTTTTCAAATAAAATCACTACCCAAGAAATGTGAATCTGGAAGCCCAGAGGAAGCAGCAGGGGTCTTGTTCAGACAGCCCACAGAGAGGGGCTTTCTCCTCCCCACCCCCCACCAAGAGCACAGAGCCAAGGAGAAGGAAGCTTCGTACATGGGCAGAGGCTCAGCATATGAAGTGGCAGGGGAGTAAAACAGGCACACACACCCCGGAAAGGGGGCTCTGTGGGGAATCCTCGCACCCCTCTCTCTGCCGCTTGATCATCTGTTGATGGAGGAGTAGTTGGCCTGCCCCCCTGGGCTGGGCTGCACGGGGGTCTTTTCCGCCTGGCGGGGCTCCGGGGGAGGCGGGGGCTCGTCCAGGATGCGCTGGTGGTCTTCCTCGCAGGGCTGCTCCCGGGGGAGCAAGACCAGGTCGGAGAGGCCGTGGAGCTCGGCCAGCCGGTGGAAGGTCTGCAGGAGCAGGAGCATGGCCATCAGCCCCAGCAGGAGGTAAACTGGGGGGGGAGAGAAAGAGGGGGTAGCAGGGCGGGGCAGGCGGAACCAGCACCCCCTCCCCACAAGGGCTGCGCAAGGCAGAAGCGCCCGTCGGCCCACCCACCGCTCTGGGGCTTCCTCCAGCCAAGGCTGCGGCGCTTGGAGCAGCTCAGAGGACCGCCGCCTCCCCCAAAAGACCAGCGCCAGCTTCTGGAGGCTGCGGCAAACCCCTTGCCCTGGTGGGAAGCGCAAGAGGACTCTGCCCCTGTCGTTCCCCCTTTCAGAGGTAGACTGCCCCTGGGCATGGAAGCACCGCAAGAAGAACCTGCTGGATCCCCTCCTGCCGTTTCTGGCGACTGATATTCAGAAGCACGGCAGAGCAAAGCCATCCTGACTGGGAGCCAGCTCTGCTCCATGAATTGGCCCAGTTCTCTTTCAAAGCCATCCAAGTCAGTGGCCGTGGCCAGCTCCTGCAGCAGGGAGTCCCGCAGTTGCAACTATCCTCACCCCCAGTGACAGATTTAGGTGTCAGCTCAACAAGCTCTAGCTTAGGGCCCCACTCTCTTTAGGGCCTCAAAAAAAATTAAAGGAAAAACAACACCTGGATGTACATTTCCAAAATATAAGGTAAAAAACAAATCAAACAAAACCTACATCCAGCAACTGTCTTTTGTGTTGTGTTGGCTCCTAGGATGCCAGCCTGCTTGCCTGCTCCCCAAAATATCCCTGGTTTGCTCCTTTCTATATATAGGGTGCCTGCAATCTGCCTGGACTGGTTGCAGGGCAACGTGGGCAAAGGGCTTGAGACACCTATGAGGTCCATCAATTACCATATACAGTGGATGCTCAGTTTGCGAACGTGATCCATGCGGGAGGCACGTTCGCAACCCGCAGCGCCGCGTCTGCACACAGGCTGGTCGCGATTAGGTGCTTCTGCGCATGCACAAAGCACTATTTAGTGCTTTTGTGCATGTGCGAGGGCCGAAACCCGGAAGTAACCCATTCTGATACTTCCAGGTTCGGTGCTGTGCGCAACCCAAAAACACACAACCTGAAGCGTCTGTAGCCCGAGGTATGACTGTATTCAACACCAAAAAAAACCAGTGATTATTTGTTGTTGGCAAATGACAGCTGGACATCTCAAGGGCCCCATTCCCTTCAGGAGCTGAGGGCCTCATCAAACCTCAACCAGGCCCTGCTCACCCCCGCTGCCCGCCTTGCCCTCATCTGGCGCAGAGCTGCTCACCGGTGATGGAGACCTTGTAGAGGGAGCGGAGGCGCTGGCCGGGCTGCTCCCCAGGGACGTAGTCGCCCAGGCCGATGGTGCAGAGGGAGATGAAGCAGAAGTAGAAGGCGTCCAGGAAGCTCCAGGACTCCTCCAGGGCACTGAAGATGGCGGCCGGGATCAGGAAGAAGGCCGCCAGCACCACCAGGGCCAGGAAGACGAGGTGCCCACAGGAGAGCGCCCGCCGGCTGTGGCCCCAGCGCAGCGCCAGGTACTCCAGGGGGCCGGAGGTGAAGGTGCCCACCAGGCGCTGGACGGTGGCCGTGAGCACCAGCATGGTGAAGGGGACGCCCAGCAGTGCGTAGAAGATGCAGAAGGCCTTGCCCGCGTCCGAGAGAGGCGTGGTGTAGCCGTAGCCTGCAGGGAGGGAGGGAGAAGGGCAAGGGCTGGCAGGAGGAGTCCCAGAGGGGGCAAGGAGGGGCACAGGGGACTTCAGGGACCCCCAAGGGTCTTCTAGTCCAGCTCCCCTGCAAGGCAGGAGTCCCAGCTCAAAAGAAGCCCTCCAGCCTCTGCTTAAAGACCTCCAACCCAGGCAAGGGAAAATGGACACTCTTCGGTTTAATTAATTCAACAAACAGCTTTCAGCCGCCCCCTTGTCTCTTCGCAACCCCACCTCCAGGTAATCCCACGGCCCACTTTGGGAATACCTGATTTAAAGGGAACAGGGCGCTTTGGATATCTGACCTTGAACAGGATCATTGAAAGGGCAGAGTGGGGCTGAGGGTGGCTTCTAGGGGTCCCGGGGGAGGACCTGGGCAGATCAGATCAGATCTTTGCCACCCCACAGAAGGCAGATATGCATTAGTCATAATAAATAATAATAATAATAATGAAAATTTATTATTTATACCCCGCCCATCTGGCTGGGTTTCCCCAGCTAGGACCTTGGAAAGACCTGGGTTCAAATGCCGCCTCCCTCAGCCATGAAGCTCACTGGGTGACCCTGGGGGCCAGTCCCTGCCTCTTAGCCTGACCTACCTCACAGGGTCGTTGTGCGGTTTAAATGAGATGGGGGGGAGACCTATGTATGTCACTTGGAGCTCCCTGGAGGAAAAAGGTGAGCTGGAAATGCGGTAAACAGGCACTTTGGGGCAAGGGAGGGAGCTGCCCTGGAGACTTGGGTCGGCCACATGATCCAGAGGAGGCTTCTTCTCAGAGCAACAGCAGGGGAAAGGCTCGGGGGCTTTGGCAAAGGCTGCCCCTCCCAGCAGCGCACAAAGGATGCTGACATGGGCGAGATAAAGGCCGATCATATGAGGAACAAACGGCTGAAGCAGGAGGCTATTTTTAGCCAAAGAAAATAGAGCCAAGGCTGCCAGGGGGAGAGGAGCCAAAGGTTTGCTGGGATCCAGGAGGCCCTTAAAAAGAAATCTGTTAGAATCACAGAATTTGTAGAGTTGGAAGGGGGACCCCCAGTGGTCATCCAGCCCAACCCGCAGCAACGCAGGAATATGCAGTTGTCCCAGAGGGGGACTGAACCTGCAACCAGGGCATTCTCAGCACCAGGCTCTAGGCAACTGACAGAAAGAGCCGTTGGAATGAGGAATGGACTCCCTGGGAAGGTGGTCGACTCTCCTTCCTTGGAGGTTTTTCAAGCAGAGAAGAACTGAGGTTCCTGCATTGCAGGGGGTTGGACTAGATGACCCTGAGGTTCCCTTCCAATTCTACAATTGTATGATTCAAAGTACAGAATAAATCCTATAATGTAATTAGCAAATCATCAGTAAAACACAATCTACCTAGACTTCACTTCTGTCTTTTTGGGAGGGGGCTTGTGCAGGGTTTTTGGTTCTTGTTTTTATGATGTTTTTTTTATCTTGTACTGTTCTGTTGTGAACCACCGAGATCCACAGATGAAGGGCAGTATACAAATGGAATCAATGAATAAACAAAACACTATTTAACAAACCAGCAACTAAAAAAACAAGCTAAATGTCACAATTACAGCATAAGTCATATTACACGATTAAATCAATAAGGCATTTATAATCTATAAAACCATAATGTCAAAATAGCAACTTTAAGACGTTCATACACTCTCTCTCTCTTGCCTCCCTGCCCCAAATGATTCATAAACTTTCATTCTGTTCATTTCATTTCATTGAAACGCACACAAACACACACATGAGGACAAGAAATACCTGCAATGGGGCTACACCTTAATTTATTAGTTTTTAAGTAATACCTGTGACCCATCCTTCTGACCCCTGATGCTGAAGACAGGCAGCCTCCAACAACAGGTGTGGGGGACACCCTGGTCCTGAATGGGGCAACTGTGTCCTGAAGGAGCAGGTGCGCAGTCATTCTGGACTCACAGCTGTCCATGGAGGTGCAGGTCCATTCTGTGTCCAGGGCAGCTGTCTAGCAGCTCCATCTGGTACACAGGATGAGACCCTCCCTGCCCGCGGACTGTCTGGCCAGAGTGGTGCATGCTCTGGTTATCTCCCGATTGGACTACTGCAATACGCTCTCCATGGGGCTACCTTGGAAGGTGACCCAGAAACTGCAACTAATCCAGAATGTGGTAGCTAGACTGGTGACTGGGAGCAGCTGCCGAGACCATATAACACCAGTCCTGAAAGACCTACATTGGCTCCCAGTCCATTTCCGAGCACAATTCAAAGTGTTGGTGCTGACCTTGAAAGCCCTAAACGGCCTCAAAGGCCCAATATACCCAAAGGAGCGTTTTCATCGTTCTGCCTGGACACTGAGGTCCAGCTCTGAGGGCTTTCTGGCAGTTCCCTCCATGCAAGGAGTGAGGTTACAGGGAACCAGGCAGAGGGCCTTCTTGGTGGTGGCACCCACCCTGTGGAACGCCCTCCCATCAGACGTCAAGGAGATAAACAACTATCTGACGTTTAGAAGACATCTGAAGGCAGCCCTGTTTAGGGAAGTTTTTAATGACTGATGTTTTATTCCGCTTTTAATCTGTTGGGTGCTGCCCAGAGTGGTTGGGAAAACCCAATTATTATAACAGCACAACCATAGCAATTCACACATTGTGCCAACCGGGAAGCCCCTGCCCCGTGAACGGGCAGCCAGTTCCACCTGATGAGCCGCACTGGGGAGATGCCCTGGCTGGGCAATGGCCCTCCTTTAATGCCCCGCCTGTTCAAGGCAAGACGTGGCGCTACCTCACCTCAGATGGGGAGAGAGGAGAGCCATGAGCCCAGGCAGGGCTGGCAGGGTGCCAGTCTGCTTCCGTGGGCAGGGGCAGCAGCTGCAGCAGCACATCTGGCCGGCCTCCTTGTCCAGCTCCCTCTTCCCCTGGAAGAGCCTGTCCAAGGAGACTCCAATTGCAAGAGGCCCTTCAGAGAAGCTCGATGGGAGGGATTTCAAGACCAGGAATTTTCTCACCCTGACAAGGCACAAAAAGGGCCATTTTCTGGGGAAAGCGGTGGCTCTCCTTCTCTGGAGGTTTCGAAGCAGAGGGTGGATGGCCACCTGTCAGATATTCTCTAACTGCAATTCCTGCATCGCAGAGGGTTGGACTAGATGATCCCTGAGGTCCCCAGCCTGGGCTGCCAGATCAGACCTGCCCAACAGCCCTGGTGCTTCTCAGCTGCTGGTGCGCAGAGGCCTCCCCTGCCCCTCCCAGGGGAAGATGAGCAGAGCCGTCCTCAAGTTTCTCAGCCACCGAGAGCCATGTTCTGCTCCCAATAAATCTGTCTAATCCAAACTGATGGGCACCTCGACATCCCAGAGCAGCAAAGCCCAGCGTTAATTCTGCAAAGAATTCTTTCCTTTCACTCATCCTGAATCTCTAAACTTTCAGCTGCAGCGGATGACCCCTGTGTGGGGTTGGAGGATGACCCACATCTCCGCCATGTCTGCTCCCCTTACTTGCCTTTCCCTCTTACTTAAAGGGATCCAAAAATAAGAAGCTAAGGAGAGGCAGGCTGGCTGCTGGATCAGACCCATGGCCCATCTCTTTACAGTGGCCAAATACCCTGAAGAACCCAGGAATCCAGATAGACTGCCTCTGGACCTGGAGGTTCCATAAGACTATAAGAAGAGCCTGGCTGCTGGATCAGACCATGGCCCATCCTGCTCTCCCAGATGCCCCTCATGGGAAGCCGCAAAGCAGAATTTGAGCACAAGAGCAGCCTCTTTCCTCCTGCGGATTCCAGCAAGTGAGACCAAGAGACAGTTGCCGTCTTGGCCGTTGACAGTCCTCCTCCTCCTCTATGAATTCGTCCGATCCTCTTTTAAAGCCAAAGGGACGCGGGTGGCGCTGTGGGTTAAACCACAGAGCCTAGGACTTGCTGATCAGAAGGTTGGCAGTTCGAATCCCCATGACGGGGTGAGCTCCCGTTGCTCGGTCCCTGCTCCTTCCAACCTAGCAATTCAAAAGCACATCGAGTGCAAGTAGATAAATAGGTACCACTCCGGCGGGAAGGTAAACGGCGTTTCTGTGCGCTGCTCTGGTTTGCCAGAAGTGGCTTAGTCATGCTGGCCACATGACCCGGAAGCTGTACGCCGGCTCCCTCGGCCAGTAAAGCAAGATGAGCGCCGCAACCCCAGAGTCGGCCACGACTGGACCTAACGGTCAGGGCTCCCTTTACCTTTTAAAGCCACTTGGGGGCCAAAATGAGGCCAGCTCCCTCCCAGGGGAGTTGCTCAAGGCCCGGGAAAGGTTCCCCATTTCCCAGCTCTACAGCATCCCCACAGAGATGGGGCAACGTCTCCGGAGGGTTGCGGTTGAGCAGAGCAGCACAGGGAGGCCACCACATGCGCTGAGAGCGGGGAGGGCGACTGACTTCCTGCGGAGAACATGCTGCCTGCCACTTTCCATGATGCTCAGCGTTTCCCCCTCCAGGAACCAAGGGCAGGCCGCAGCTTCCCCCTGGCCTCTGAGACAGCTGAAGGCTGTCGAGGGTCTTCTGGTCCCACCCCCTGCAAGGCAGGGATCCCAACTCAACTGCCCCAACTGAGAGGCAACACCAATGGCTCCTAGCTCCGCTGGCCCCGTCTCTCCCTCCGCAGTCAGAGGCAGGAAAGGGCCCCCAGTGCCAGCTGCTTGGGGGAACCAGGTGGGGTCACTGCTGGTCAGAAGGAGGCAAGGAGAGCCTGCGTGGTCAGGCCAAAGGGGTCCCCATCTAGTCCAGCCTCCAGCTCTCACAGTGGCTGAGCAGATGGAGGCAGGTTATGAGATCCGAGTGCGAAAGCAGCCCTCTCCCCCCCCCCTCCTGTGGCTTCCAGCAAGTAGGATTCAGACGCATCATCAGTGCCTCCAGCTGTGGAGCCACCAAGAGCCCCTTTTGTCTAATCCAAGGGCCTGCAGGAGGGAGTTCCCCAGTTGGCTCTGCGTGGTCCAGCTTGCAGGCTTCTTCCCCAGAGTGCTGGAAGAGATGGGTGCTTCTCCTCCCAAACGTCACCCCAGCCCCCTCCCTCTAGGAACTGGGCCTAGCTCTGCAGTCCAGGACTTCTGTACAGCTGGGGAGTGACTCAGTCCTTGTTGTGTCCACACCCACCAGGATAAAAACAGGATGTAGGGAACTTGGATCAGAAAGCTGCGCTGGCAGGGGAGTCCTGGGCAGAGCACAGCCAGAGAGGGCCAGGCTCTCCCGCCCCCCAGGCAAACACTCGCAGCTGGCTGCAGTTAACCTCTGCAACCCCCACCTCCTCCGTTGCTGGCTTGCAGGAAACACTGGAAAAGAAGAAACCAGTGAGCCGCAAAGGGCGGCCACCAGAGCCTCTTGGAGGAAGCAGGAACAAGGAAGCCGAGCTGCAGAGGCTGGCAGGGTGGGGGTGGGGGGGTCATGTCTTAAGCCACATGTTGAGCCCCACAACTGCCCCAGCATGGCTATAGTCCTGGCATTGGCTGGCTTGGTAAGACCAGCACCACAGGGTTGTTGTAAGGGGTACCAAGATGCCACATCTTGGGGGAATAGCTGGCGCTGCTCCTGGGACTGAGCTCCTAGGAGCAGGATGTGGGTCTGGGTGTCCAGGTGCTGGGGGGCTCCCCACCCCCACAGGGCTGCATTTCCTCTATTTCATGTCAGAAGCCCCACGTACAAACTTCCACCTGGAAACCAGGAAGCCACATCACCATCCTGCAGGTGACCAACCCCCCAAAAAAACCTCTCAGCCCTCCCCCAGTCCCCCCTCCTTTAGCTGCGATTCCTGGAGTGCAGAGGGTTGGACTAGATGCCCCTTTGGAGCCCCTTCCAACTTTACAACTCTGTGCCCAGGACCACAGCCTGCCTCATCCTGCCACCCCCTGCTGGCCCTCGCACTTGCATGGACGCCCACTCCCCAAACTGCCAGGTTCCTTTAGCTGGAAGGAGGAGTCACTTCAGGATGCATTATTCCAGTGCGTGCATACTCGGGAGTAAGTCAAACTGAACTCTGCGGAAGCTGAGCAAACAAGCCGACGGCTGCGCGGTGCGATAAGCGCAGAGAGAACTTTCCCCTCGGAACAGAGCAGGGAAAGCGGCTCTGCGCACCGGCGGCCCTAGCGGGGACTGGCGTCGGGGCCCCGCGGGGAGGGAGCCTGGGGCCCCAGCTGGAGTCCCCGGCGGGCTCCGCAGGCGCCTGCACCCCGTCCCCGCCCGCGACTCACCGACGGTGGTGATCAGGGTGCTGGAGAAGAAGAAGGCGGAGGCGAAGTCCCAGTTGGACGGGGCGGCCGAGCCGTTGCGGAGCAGAGCCACGCCGTGGCGGTTGGCGCTGAGGACGGCGCCCAGGAAGCTTTCGAGGGCGGGCTCGGGCAGGCAGGGGCTCTCGCGCAGGAAGGCGGCCTTGAGGGCGCGCAGCTCGGCGCGCAGCCGGCTCTCGTAGGGCCGCTCCACCGCCGAGATGATGAGCGCGCCCAGCAGCAGGTAGCCCACGTAGCCCAGCGCGAAGGCGGCCAGCAGGGCGCAGCGCCGCATGGCCGCCCCGACGACGGCGCCACCTGCCCGCTCGGCCGGCACCGCGCGCAGCGGGAAGCGGCTCTGGGAGCGGGTGGAGGCCGCTACGCGCCCCACTCCGTCTCGCTCGTCCCGGCGACGCGGCCAGCCAGCCTCTTAGGCGGCCCGGCCAAGCCCCTCCCGTCGGGCGGAGCCGCGCCCGCCTCCCGTCGCACCTGGCAGCAGCCGGCGCCGCCCAGCGGAGGGAGGGAGGGAGCCCCCGAGGGGCCCGGATCGGCGCGCGGAAGCGCCTCGGCGCGCCCCTGCCAGCCCGAGCCGAGTCGGGAGGCGCTCTGCCCATGCTCAGGGACGCTGCTTCTTTGCCCCCGGAGCACCCAGGGGGAAAGCGCCTTTCTCAGCCCTACCCGGCTTCTGCTTCCAAACAGCTGCTCCGGCCCCAAGCGACGGCGACCCCCGCGCGCAAGTAGGGCAGCGAGTCGCGCTGAGATCGCCTTGAGATTCCCGCGTGCAGTTATGAAGTCTTTCCTTTTCACATCCCACCCCAAATGAAGCACAATAGGAGGCTTGGCGCGGGCAGCAGGCCGGTATTCCCAGCAGGGCTGATATTCCTGCAGGGAGGGTTTTTCTGGAGTCTTTCACTGGTGTAGGGAGGGCTTTTCCCCTTGGGGCTACCGCCAGTCTTTTCTAGAATTGCCTCTCCCTGGTGTATAAGGGAGTCATTAGCGCACCCCACAATTGCCTAACGTTGGAGACTTCAGCCAGGAGACAGAAGCAAAACAGCGGTCACAGGTAGAACCTGAGATCCAGGCATGTCCCTGCCACTCAAATATAGTCTTTCATGCATATTCCATCACAGTACAGAGGAAAGTATTTGCAGTTCCCTGGTACCTGAGTCACGTCAAATACACCCCTTTGTCTTGTCCAGGCTTCATCCCACTATGGGGTGGATAGGCATTGCGATTGAGATGGTTATCTGTCTGACACTCTTGGGCAGGGGTAGGCAACCTAAGGCCCATGGGCCAGATGCGGCCCAATCGCCTTCTCAATCCAGCCCGCGGACAGTTGGGGAACCAGCGTGTTTTTACATGAGTAGAATGTGTCCTTTTATTTAAAATGCATCTCTGGGTTATTTGTGGGGCATAGGAATTTGTTCTTTTTTTTCCTTCAAAATATAGTCCAGCTCACCACATGGCCTGAGCGATGGTGGACTGGCCCACGGCTGAAAAAGGTTGCTGACCCCTGCTCTTGGGGCAGGATATCATGACTCCTTGGGAAGGCTCTACAGACAGAAGTGACGGTACATCTCAGGGATTATGGAGGGCTCACTCATCCCTCCCCTTATACAGTGGTACCTTGGTTGTCGAACGGCTTGGCTCCTGAACAAATCAGCTCCCGAATGCCACAAACCTGGAAGTGAGTGTTGTGGTTTGCGAAGGTTTTTCGGAAGCCGAACTTCCTGGCTTTTGCTTGAGTGCAGGAAGCTCCTGCAGCCAACTGGAAGCTGTGCCTTGGTTTTCGAACAGTTCCAGGAGTCGAACGGACTCCTGGAACAGATTAACTTTGACAACCAAGGTACCACTGTATCTGACTTCCCTGGGTCCTAAGTGCCATTGGAACTGAGAAGATTGATACAGTGGTTTACAAACTTAATCCATTCCGGAAGTCCGTTCTTAAACCAAAGCGTTCTTAAACCAAAGCATGCTTTCCCATAGCAGTGGGGGACTCAGTTTACAAAAGGAACACACTCAACAGGAAGCGGAACCTGTTCTGCTTCCAAGGCAAAGATCACAAACCAAAACACTTGCTTCCAGGTTTGCAGCATTCTTAATCCAAGTTGTTCATAAACTAAGCTGTTCTTAAACCAAGGTACCACTTGTACAATGATGTGGTTTCTTATGAATTTCTAAAGTTTTCCTACTGAGCCAGTACAGAGATACATTTAGCAATGAATTGCTACATTTGGTAATGTCTTTGCCTGGTCCTGTGGAGAGGCAAGGCGGGGGCTCTCACCCTCCTTTCAATTTCCCGGTAACACTGGCGGCCCCTCCAGACTTGGGGAAGGGGGTGTCTTCTGAGGCATGTCACTGAAGAAGAAGAAGAGTTTGGATTTGATATCCCGCCTTTCACTCCCTTTAAGGAGTCTCAAAGCGGCTAACATTCTCCTTTCCCTTCCTCCCCCACAACAAACCCTCTGTGAGGTGAGTGGGGCTGAGAGACTTCAGAGAAGTGTGACTGGCCCAAGGTCACCCAGCAGCTGCATTTGGAGGAGCGGAGACTCAAACCCGGTTCCCCAGATTACAAGACTACCGCTCTTAACCACTACACCACGCTTGCTCTCTGATGCCCTAATGGTGCCTTAGTGGCAGATATATACCAGACCCACATTTGTGGTACAGAAGGTTACAGGGCTGCAGCAGTAGCACTGATAGGAAAACATGTAGGGTGCCTGCCCTGAACATTTGAAAGTGGAGTGGCATATAAACGCCGCCATCCCATCATGAGCACAAACCTCCTCTTGCTTCCCTGGCTTTGTTTTGAGAGTTCCTGCTGGGATAGAGATTCTGAATAAACGTCAGGGGATCTCCTTCGGTTTCCAGACCCTTGATCATCTTGGTTGCCCTCCTCTGCACACCTTCCAACTTGTCAACATCCTTCTTAAATTGTGGTGCCCAGAATTGGACACAGGATTCCAGGTGTTGTCTGACAAAGGCAGAACAGAGTGGGACTATTACTTCCCTGGATCTGGACACTAGACTTCTGTTGATGCCGCCTAGAAGAGAGTTACCTTTTTTTTTGCTGCTGCCTCACCCTGTGGACTCATCTTCAGCTTGTGGTCCACCAAGACCCCAGATCCTTTCCACATGTCCTGCTAGTAAGCCAGGTGTCCCCCATCCTATATTGGTGCATCTGGTTCTTCCTGCCTAAGTGCAGAACCTGACATTTGTCCCTACTGAAACTGATTTTGTTCGTTTTCGTTTGGGTCCAGTTCTCCAATCCGTTATGGTCATTTTGAATCCCAATTCTGTCTTCTGATAGCCGTCTTCAAATACCTGAAGGGCTGCCACATGGAAGATGGAACAAGCTTGCTTTCTCCTGCTCCGGAGGGGGAGACCCGAACCAATGGCTTCAGATGACAATAAAGAAGAATCCAACTAGACATTACAAAGGACTTTCTGATGGTAAGATCTGTGTGGCAGTGAAATGTTCTCCCTCAGAAGTTGTTGGACCCGCCAGGAATACCATTCTCTGAGGCCTTTTGTGCTCTGCTGAAGCAGAGGCTGCCCTGGGCCTTGTGGGGAGGGAGCCTGTGTGTCAAGAGTCGGGGTCAGGATATGTGGGGCAGTGCCAGAGGGGAGGGGGCTGCTGCAGCTTCTGCTCCAGGCTAGATGGGAGGAAGAGGAGGGCTCAGCTGGGGAGACCTGTAGACATTGCTGTTATAGGAATTCTAAGGTCTCATATATATAAAATAAATGTTCATAAATTTACAAGGCAAACACATATGTAAGTATATAAACAACGTGTCTGAAATAGTACAGGAGAGCAATCCTGAAACCATTTTGACTCCCAAATGGACATAACATGTTTCTCTGCAAGGAGGAAGGAAATGGGAAAGCCTCCCCATTGTCTCTGCTCACAAATCCTGTCTTAAGGGCATTTCTGTGTATGATATGCCCTGGCTGAGGGAAGGAGGTGATCACCCAAGATTTGACGATACATGGTCCCGTCCATCGTCCCTTCAATGCGGTGAAGGTATCCTGTCCCCTTAGCAAAAACACCCCCCCCAAAAAAATATAATATGTCCCCCTCCGTGTTTGATGGTGGGGATGGTGTTCTTGGGGTCGTAGGCAGCATTCCTCTTCCTCCAAACATGGTGAGTTGAGTTGATGCCAAAGAGCTTGATTTTGGTCTCATCTGACCACACCACTTTCACCCAGTTCTCCTCTGGGTCATTCAGATGTGCATTGGCAAACTGCAGATGGACCTGTACATGTGCTGTCTTGAGCAAGGGGACCTTGCGGGCTCTGCAAGATCTCAGTCCTTCATGGTGTAATGTGTTACCAACTGTTTTCATGGTGACTATGGTCCCAGCTGCCCTGAGATCATTGACAAGTTCCCCCCGTGTAGTTCTGGGCTGCTTCATCACTGTTCTCCTGATCATTGCAACTCCACAAGATGAGATCTTGCATGGAGCCCCAGACCGAGGAAGGTTGAGAGTTATTTTGTGTTTCTTCCATTTGCGAATTATTGCACCAACTGTTGTCACCTTCTCACCAAGCTGCTTGGCAATAGTCTTGTAGCCCAGTCCAGCCTCGTGCAGGTCTACAGTCTTGTCCCTGACATCCTTGGACAGCTCTTTGGTCTTGGTCATGGTGGCTACTTTGGAATCTGCTGGATTGATTGCTTCTGTCAACAGGTGCCTTTTGTACAGGTACTGTAAGGAGCTGGGATTACAGGTAAGACCCCTCCCTTACAGCAGGTGCTTCTAATCTCAGCTCCTTACATACAGTGAAGATACCAGGTAGCCTGACACCTGGCTGGTTGATAGGGGATCAAATACTTATTTCACTCATTATAATGCACATCTCTGACTTTTGTCTTCTGGGTTTCTGGGGGTTTTCCTGTTGTTATTCTGTCTCTCACAGCTACAATAAACCTACCATTAAAATGATGGACTGGTCATTTCTTTGTCAGAGGGCAAACGGGCAAATTTAGCAGGGGATCAAATACTTTCCCCCCTCACTGTAGCTGCTTTGCTTCTCAATATTCTCTGGTTGGCCTCTGTTATTTTCTCCTGCCCATAGAGAACCTACTTAAGGATTCTATATGGACTCTTAGATACCCCATAAGGGAAAGGGAGCAGTATTTTCCTTATAACGTTGCTGAGCTCAGGAGCCCCACATTGCAAGAAGGAAAAGTCCCATTTCAACTGCAGCACAGAGCGGGGAGGTGGGGGGGGGTTACCAGCAATGGACCTCGGAGGCAGGAGATAAGCAGGCCCTGCAGAGTGGGGTGACTGGCCCCTTGGCCACGCAGGAGAGGCCAGGAACAGATAATTCAGCCGCCAGACCCGGCCAGGGTCCTCTTTTGCTAGGACAGCAGGGCAAGAACCGCTTCCAGCGCGCAAAGCC